AACTATTTGGTGATTCTGTTGGCATCTAAATTTCGCTCAACATAATATTATATAGATATATTATACTTCAAACCCAAAATATATAGAATGTTTAAAGAAATTCATGCTGGGACTTTAAGAAATGTCATTTTAGCGTGATTTGAGTGCATATGATCATTTTAATATTTTTGTCATTATTTTGCCTGAGTATTCCTTTTAACAAAGTTCAATAGCAATACAATTTTTCATAATGATGATAATTATAATGATGGTAAAAGCACATTATGCCTCAGAAACAAACAAATTTTTCACATCTTGAGAAAGGCCAAACATGATTTTTTTATTATGTTTTAATAATGGTTAAAGAGTATGTAAGATGCTTGTAACCTGAAGTAAGTAGTGATAAATGTGAAATAATATGTCATGAAAGTGGCAAAATTGTAACCAAAATAGTATTTTTGACTTCCTGTACTTATTGTTTAAAGGCAATAGATAGGAAAAGTGGTTCAGGTAATTTGCCCATTAGTAAATTTTTGGATACTATAAAAGAAAACCAAAATTAAAGTCTAAGCTTTTGAGAAATAAAAAATAAAAGTATTCTGAGGCATAACGGGCATCATACTTGGACAAAACCTTTTGGACAAGACCTTCTGAAAGGTTAAACTGACCTTGATCTTTAAAAGACCTTGACCGTCAAGGTCAAATTATTGAATTTGGTCAAGTTGTTATATTTTTTTTATTTATGTACCAATTTGATTTTTATTTAGACAAAAGAACACTTGTGACCAAACTGACATGTTGGATGATTTAGATATGACCTTAACCTTTGTAACTATGAACTTGATTGTCAAGGCCATATGATTGAATTTGCTTATAATTTCTTAACTTTGTCATTTATGTATGGAAATGATTCAAACTTGGACAAAACAACAAGTGTGACTAGACAGACCTACTAAAAAACTTAATTTTTTGGGGGTCCATTACTACTTAATTAAATAAGTTTGTGTAGAGGTTAAAAATGTATGATATACCAACAGTTACACTTAATTATCCTGAAATAAGCTTTCATATAACCAAGAAATGAGATCAAGTAATCTGGCTGCAACAATAATTCTGCATGCGAAGACATTTTTTGTTGTTATTTTTTTAAGGTTTTCATAGCCTTTAAAAAGCTGATGCCTGCAGATCATCCAAAATATTTTAAGAAAATCAACATTGAAAAAAGTTCTAAGATTTTAAGAAACATAAAAATATTCAAGATAAATGCAATAATTTCCATGTAATGTGTGATTTATGGCTGATTTTGTAGCATTTTTCACCATATTTCTGTTCTGTTACAAACACGGTAAGGGCTAATCTTGCTAATTTAATCTGGAGGTGTGGGGCTTTAGTATGGTCTTGACAAAAATATAACATAATATTTTTTGTCATTGCTACTACAGATTATCAATGTCTTTGTCAACTGTTCTTGTAACAATTTGGGGTGGTAAATTTTGATAATAGTATTTAACTCACAATGTATTTAATGTTATTTTTGTGTAAAAACTCAATTTTGTTAAACAGGACTTTGAATGGCATCTATGTTAATTGGATACAGTAAATCAGAAAATGCATAGTTTCTATTTCATGCATTATATTACTTTTGCATTTCACGGAGAAAGTTTAGGGGCGTGATGAAGGTTTGGCACTCAAGGAGTTTTTATGCTCATGCAAACTTCGCTACCACAAGACAAGATAAACATCTGTAAATTATTATATTACGTCTGCTTTTGTTATGTCTTGTCTGGAATGATAATTATCTACTTATTTTTGTTTATGAATTTTTCATTTTGTTAAGGGGCTGATCATCTGCCTTTAAGTGACTCAGTCATGATTTTTCATAACAACAGTTATAAAGGGTTGCTAGGGAGTTGTTTTACACATTTGGCTTCTTGTTGTTAGGAAAAACTATTTAGAAAATTACTTCAATGGTTTAGGTTTTAGATCAAAGCATTATTACAAAAACGCTTAATTTCTAATGTTAAGTAGTAATTGATATCATTATAGTTACTCTGTTGAACTTCGAAATTGATTGATTTATGCATATAATGGTAGACATATGACTTACTGAATAAGCCTAAAAAAACTTTATTTCTATTTTCAGTCATTTTTATATTATTTTTAGAACTTGAGGGGAGACAAGGATTTTTTTTGCCATACAAAGGTAAGTCTTTCTCTAATTTTATTTAGTTTTGTTAATACTCATTTATTTTTTACGGAGCCCCTAAGGTGACATTTTCCACACTTTTTTCCCCGGAATTTAATTCGTTTTTACGAAATAATAATTCGTAATTACGAAATAATAATTCGTTTTTACGAAATATTATTTCGTTTTTACGAAATATTAATTCGTAATTACGAAATATTATTTCGTTTTTACGAAATATTAATTCGTAATTACGAAATATTATTTCGTATTTACGAAATATTAATTTGTAATTACGAAATATTAATTCGTTTTTACGAAATATTATTTCGTAATTACGAAATATTATTTCGTAATTACGAAATATTAATTCGTAAAAACGAAATGTTATTTCGTAATTACGAAATAATAATTCGTAAATACGAAATAATATTTCGTAAAAACGAATTAAATTTTTTCTAGCGTTTCAAAGAGTTTTGGTAATAGTTATAAATAAGGCCTCAAAAACTAAGTTCCTGACTTAATATAAGGCATGTACATGCAATATAAATAGTGATTTTTGTTCTCCCCAAGTTTTTTAACTTTACACTATTGTACATAAATTAAAATAATCGCATGTTAATAGCGTTGAGCCACAGCCGTGATGGTACACGCGCTAGGAAAATTTACTTAAAATGGGGGTCCTGTGCTTCAAATCGTAACACGGACATTTCTTATAATAAATTGTGAGGAAATATTTATTTTAAATTGATTAGATTAGTGAAAGTCTGGACCAACCCCCCCCCCGTCCCATTAGTTTTACTAATGTATATGATAAAAGAACGGAATAATATGGCATGTTTCTGTTTTAAAGATACATGTCGTAAAAGATTGTCTCAAACATTAAAACATTGCTGATAGGAACATGTATTTGACAATGGGGAAAAAAGACCATTTTGGATAGAGAATGACTTCTCACTCAAAAACCCTGTTCACATAAATATAATAACTTGAGAACCATTCGGCTCATAATCGCAAAGTTGATCAAGGCATGTAAATGACCCATTTGTGAGATTAATAGGTTCTTTATCAAGCTCAAAATGACCTTAAATAAGATTTCGTAAATATTTCGTAATTACGAAATAACATTTCGTTTTTACGAATTAATATTTCGTAATAACGAAATAATATTTCGTAATTACGAAATAATATTTCGTAATTACGAAATAACATTTCGTTTTTACGAATTAATATTTCGTAATAACGAAATAATATTTCGTAATTACGAAATAATATTTCGTAATTACGAAATAACATTTCGTAAAAACGAATTAATATTTCGTAAATACGAATTAATATTTCGTAAAAACGAATTGATATTTCGTAATTACGAAATAACATTTCGTTTTTACGAATTAATATTTCGTAATTACGAAATAATATTTCGTAATTACGAAATAACATTTCGTAAAAACGAATTAATATTTCGTAAATACGAATTAATATTTCGTAAAAACGAATTGATATTTCGTAATTACGAAATAACATTTTGTTTTTACGAATTAATATTTCGTAATTACGAAATAATATTTCGTAAAAACGAATTAATATTTCGTAAAAACGAATTGATATTTCGTATTTACGAATTAATATTTCGTAAAAACGAATTAAATGCCGGGGGAAAAGTGTCGAGAATGTCACCTTAGGGGCTCCGTAATTTTTTGGTTGAGTTATATTATTTTTTTTTTTAGTTTGATTGCATTGGAAGCACATGAAAAGTAAAATGATACAAACAAAATTATAAACAACTTAAAATATTATGTAACAGTTTTATAAGAAAACATAGATTAGATCAGTCGACAAACTGCAATAAACCGATTCATGTTTAATTAAGGATGTTGCAGTTATTTTGTTTATTTTATAATGTGATGTTTAATGAATTTCTGTGTTTCTAACATAAGCAGCTGTCATTCTGATGTTTGATAATACCTCAATAAATGAGCCGCGTCACGACAAAACAAACATAATGGGTTTGCGACCAGCATGGATCCAGACCAGCCTGCACATCCGCGCAGTCTGATCAGGATCCATGCTGTTCGCTATCAGTTTCTCTATTTGTAATAGAATTGGTCAGCGAACAGCATGGATCCTGATCAGATGTGCAGGCTGGTCTGGATCCATGCAGGTCACAAACCCACTATGTTGGTTTTGTGGTAGCGGGGCTCAAATAGTCTGTACATTATAATAGCTGACATAGAATAATCCGAATCACATTTTAAACTGTACTGCTAATAATGAAAATATAGACGTTATCTGGAACTTGGCAAATTTTGGTTTTTCCAAGGTGATCTGTAGGTACAAACTAACTTTTACCATTATAGCTTCACGGTGCACTATCCATCCCAAATGATTTGTCAGTCTGTTTTGCTTATTTTCGAAGATGTTACTTTAAAAGTTTGTTGGTACCTACGTTATTAGCTGGGAAAATCTCAAATATTCTTAATTCCAGAGTAAGTCTATTTTCCTATGCCCCGCAGACTCTGTGCTTTCCATTTCTCAGTTTGTTCAATCTGTAAATGATTAAAATAAAAATTGATAATCATAATATTGAATAATTAATGAATTATATGATTAATAATCTGTTAATGTATGATTTAACCCAAAATTATCATGAAACCCTTTAAATTTAACAATGGACTGTTCCAACTTTAAAGAGGGCATGCCCATTACTATCTAAGATTATTTTTGATCCAGGCCTGTTATCATTCTTATCATACAGTAGTAGTAGTTGTGTTAGTAGTGATATATCCTCTCTTATTTCTTTACAGGAGAAAACTGCCGACCAGTCAACCTGTGCTGTATTGTTTTAACCAAAAAAAAAAAAAAAAAAAAAAAATCATTTTGATAAATAATAATTTTCTGTTGTTACATGTGACTGGATTATGGTGCAGAAAATGACTTGTGATTAGAAAAACTTGAATGGTAGATTTATGACATTTACAGTAATTGTTATAACATGAATAATATAGATCTAGTATAAATAAATAAAAATTAAGAGATTCAGGTTATAAATTTCCACAGTTATTAAAAATTGGTGAAAATGTCTGATGACAAGTTTTATAGGTTTGAGGAGTCTGCTTCACCTGTGGTTATAGGTGAGGAGAAACCTAAAAGCTGTTCACGGGAGAGACTGTGCTGGATTTTACTGGTTCTTTTACTAATTGGTGCTGTAATTGGTGTAAGTGTTTATTTTACCGGTAAGGATGATACAGCGTCGGATGGAAAATTGGACGCACAAACAGGCGGTAAAGTTACAACCGGAGCTCCGGTTGTTACTGTAACAACCAAAGGTACTGCAGCAACAACATCAAAAACAACTGAAAAACCAGACATTCAAGAATTGTATAAGAGAATTGATTGTATACCGGAAGCACATGGTGGGGTTGTTAAGGCAACACCGGAACTCTGCACCAGACGTAGATGTGTATACTCAGATTCTGGCATTGCAGGAATTCCAGTATGTTATTTCAAGCCAGGCCAGGGGTATAGGGCAGCTCGTTATGAAAACACCAATCTAGGGTTCCGTGTAAATTTGGAGAAGAAAGTAGATGGGCCTTTTGGCAGTGATTTAGATACAGCAGTTTTCAATGTAGAAATGAGGGGAGACAATATGATTCGCTTCACAGTAAGTGCTTATTATTGCCGATTTTTAGATATTTTTGTTTTATTTATTTTTTTGGTATTTAAGCTGAAAAACAATATGAAAGAACATGATTGCTGAATGTCTTTGATAGTTTGATTATTCAGAGAAAATATCTAATCATTTTTCAAAGAAAATTCTTGTTTCCCTCTCATTGCATTAAATTAATGCTTTTTGGGTAAACTCTAATATATTTTTATTGTTGTTACTTACCTATGGTAAGTTTGAGTTCAAATAATGCCCTCTAAACATTCTATAAATAAGTACTTTTAGATAAGGAGGGAGATTAAGGGCCATAACTCAGTTTCAAGTTTCGTCTCAATATAGAATATAATTAAACTGAATAAGGAAATTACTAGTGGTAAATTATGACTGTTCTTAAATGTTATTTATATAGCATCTGTTTCAACGGCTCACTGTTGCAAGTTAAAGCCGTGCTGAAATAAAGGTTGATATAAGTTGCTCCATTTCTGACTGCAGAAAGCAATACACAAGGATATAACTTTTTTTTATAAAATAAGGAAAAGTAACTCTTGTTGTAAAATTTTGAATTTAACACGCTTCAGTGTTTGACAGTACCTCTAGACGCGAGAAATCATGATCACAAGTAGAAAAATATTTCTTTTTTGGCAATTCCACTTTTTCATTCATAGTCATATATAAATTGATGTGAAGAGATGAATTAGCTGTCTTAAAGTGCATTTTGGCAGGTTGAAATAGGTGAGATCTTAGCATTTAATCATTTTAGCACTACGGTATTTAATGTGGTGCTTCAACACTTTTTTAGTCTTATTCTAAAATTTTATTCATATTCTCAAGGAAAGGTGACGCCTGTTGTAAAATTTTATAAAAAAAATCAAGGAAAAGGTAACTGTAGTTGCAAAATTATTTAAAAAACAAAAGTAACTCTTGTTGTAAATTCAAAGAAAAGGTATCTCTTGTTGCAAAATTTAATTTTTTTCAAGGAAAAGGTAACTCATGGTGCAAAATTTCATTTTTTTCAAGGAAAAGGCAACTTTTGTTGTAAAATTCAATTAATTTTTTAAGGAAAGGTAACTCTTGTTGTAAAATTGTATTAATTTAATAAGGTAGGGTAACTCTTGTCTTGAATATATTTAATGATAATATGTATATTCTTCTATCTTTCTTAAAATTTTAGTTTGAAGTTAAGAACCAAAATTCAAAAGTTTAATTCAACATTTTAATATCACATTTTGTATATTTACAATAGAAATACAAGAGACAGATATAAACAAGTGATTCTCATTGACAGACTCTGCTTCTAGGTAGAAGAAGATGAAACAAACAATATTTTATTTTAGGCCTAAAAGATTTGCAATAATTAGAGTCTTATTTAGTTATATACAAAGTAAACAGCCGTACCGAAAACCTAGCATGTACTTAAGTACAACTTACAAATGTTATATACAGTACGAGGGGTGTTCAAAAAGTAATAGGACTGCAGCTCTACTGTTCACATTTTTTCATCTACGTACACGAGTTTACAAAAATCGAATATCGGAATTTGTCCTCTATATACAGTGACAAAATCAATACAATATGTTTAAAAACAACAATTCTGTACAACTTACAAATGACAAGGGGTACGCGACCCGGCGCACGCTAATTGTTAAATAAATGACGTTCATGACGTCGCAAAATAAATTCAAAATGTAAACAGCGTCATTCTTTCTGAAATTATTCTCCACAATGTTCTAAGTGCTTGAATCATGTAACTATAACCAGAACTCATCTGTGGAGATGTAGCGAAAAAAGCAATCACATTTTCATTTCTTTATTCGAAACATGCCCGGTGGCCGGCAACTTTCGGTTTGATCTCGTGATTTTGAGTATTCTGACAAAATGATTTATATCATTTATTTGCACATGCCATCTTACATTCTTAAAACAATATGATTATGTACAGTAAATTAAAAATGCTTATTAATTGAAAAATATTCTCTTCTTCTGAGCACATGCTATCATTTATTAAACGAAATCGAGAAAAATTGATACCGATCATTACCACGTATCATTATCAAATTTATTCAATGATAACACACACACACACACACACATATATATATCTTATAAAATAAAATAGTGTTTAAAACAAATTTCCCCTATTCAATAATTTTCTTAGAACTGAAACAGTATACCCGATGCAAACATCAAACATGCCGGACAGTTCGCGGACTGTATACTGATACTTTTGTAGCGCTATTGCAATTAACGTCTCTAACGTCCGTCAATTTTCCGCTTTCTCCCTAGCCCTTTCGTGTCTGTGATCTCATATTTACCGTCTTTGAACTGCTTTCTCCAGCTGAAAACGAGTGTCCTAATTGCCCAATTATTGTTCTTTAAAAATTTAATCTTTTCATACGTAGCTGAAGGAGTAGGGCCTATCTGTTTGGCAAAATTTAATGATCGTACACATTTTAAGTTTTTCAACGTCATTTTTCTACATTTAACGTGATTATCACTGCAGTTCAAAACGTTATAGTTTAGCGATTTCTTGTCTGAATGACGTCAAATTTGGACAACATGACACTTTAATATGATAAAATGTGTTGGTGAAATATTAGGGGGAAAAGACAACATATTATGAATAAACTGAAAGTACAAATTAGCGTCAAAATATTTTTGATGCGCTGCGCCGGGTGCGTGTTACCATGGTTATTTAATATCACGGGGAACACGCGTTTAGCGCAATAATTCAATAAACTTATGCTAAAGTTGTAGAAAACAATTATCTATTGCCGTGGATATGAAAATATTTAAAATCTAATGGAATATGGAGACATAAGACTCTTAGTCCTATTACTTTTTGAACAACCCTCGTATATGTATTTATCAACAATACTAAACTGATGTTAATCTTGTCCCAGATATTCTCATGATTCTATGGTGCAGTGATAATTGCATTTATGATTGTTCTTTTAATTCATTATTTAAAAGTGAAGAGGTTGTAAAAATATTAACTCATTGTCAGACACATTTCTTTTTTATATATAAAGACTTTCATATTTCTAGACATTTTTCAAAGTCTGTTGATTTATAACTTTAGAAAAGACCCATGATTTAGTGCATCCTCAAGAAAGATCAACTAGAAAGTACATGTATAGCAACACCTTTAGAACTTAAATTCTTTTTTTAAATTTCTTGCATAATCATTAGGAGGAGATTGATAGAAATGTATTGAAAACCTTTTGGCAGCATTTAAATCATTAGTTAAGTGATGTCATATATATATACATGTATTTTATAATGGCATGCAAATGTTCCAGCCATCAAATTGTGATGTCATGAGAACATGAAAATGTTCCACTTATCAACTGATGATGTTATGACATGCAAATGTTCCATCTTTCAAGTTGTGATGTCATTATGACATGCAAATGTTCCATCTTTCAAGTTGTGATGTCATTATGACATGCAAATGTTCCATCTTTCAAGTTGTGATGTCATTATGACATGCAAATGTTCCATTTTTCAAATTGTGTTGTCATTATGACATGCAAATGTTCCATTTTTTAAATTGTGATGTCATTATGAAATGCAAATGTTCCAGCACTGAAAGTGTGATGTCATAATTGCATACAAATATTCCATTTATCAAATTGTGATGTCACAATGATATCATAATAACATTCTTATATTCTGTCCATTAACTTGTAATGTCATAATTGCAGGAAAATAATTCATTCATTAATGAATATATTACAGGTTAAATGTATGTGTAGACCTGTCTTTGTTTAGCAGAATAAGAAAGTTGAAATTGTGTAGAATAAGATGTTTTGCAAGCATTATTCTGTTAATGCAGGAAGCCACAGGTTCTGTAAAATATACTTGAAAGTTAATTGAAAGGATACATGAAGATTTACACATTCATTTAAAACAATCAACTTTTAGTGCATGCCACTTGAGATTTGGTGAAAATAAATGATATAATTCTGTTTAAATTATTGTAAACTTCTTCAAAATCTTAGGATTATTTATGTTATCTGAGAACTATGTGCTAGATAACATAAGATTTATATTTAAGATAACATTGAAAGATAGGTTATCTAATAAATGTTTGAATTGTTTGCTAAATACTTAACCCTGCCCCCATTAAACAGCTGGAGCTAGTTTATATGTATTCTTTTTGATTAAATATTCACTAAACTTTAAATATCAGCATCATATAAGTTTATTGTAGTTCTTATTTGATTACATTGGCTAATATTATGTCACATTGAAATTTGCAATGTCATCTTAGTCCATTGACATTGTCAATCTCATCAAAGTGTCATGAATATTGACAATGTCATGTAAGTCCATTGACATTAACAAAGTCATCTCAGTCCATCGATATTAACAAGGTCATCTTAGGCCATTGATATTGCTGATGTCATGTAAATCCATTGATATTGGCAAGGTCATCTAAGTTCATTGACATTGGCAAGGTCATTTAAGTCCATTGATATTGCTGATGTCATGTAAATCCATTGATATTGGCAAGATCATCTAAGTTCATTGACATTGGCAATGTCATTTAAGTCCATTGATATTGTCAAGGTCATGTTAGTCCATTGACATTGGCAAGGTCATTTAAGTCCATTGACATCTGCAAGATCTTAAATCAATTGACTTTGGCAATTCAGGCAGGCTTGTAACCTAACAATCAAAGAATTAAAAGGTTCCTGCAATAGAGCCTTGTATATTGTGTTATCTTTCTAGTTATAAATAAATATTGAGTGCATTGATCAGAAACTTAAGATAAATAGGTTAATTTTTCTGTATAAGATGTCTTATCTAATGCTCTTATTCTAAATTACATCCAGGAAGCACATTCCTTTGTTTCCAGTATATTAAGTTATCATATATCAATCATAAGCTTTTAGAATATGATATTATTATCTTGCATTCTAAACTATTAAAGTGGTTGTTATGATACATATATGTCTGTCAAGTATTTGGTTCTTTTTCAATTAATCATGCTTAAAAACTTTTTGTCCATGGTAGAGGTCGTTTTCTTACCTTTTCTTTGACATTGTATTTTTTGACATTGTATTTTTTATTTTTTTCATTATGCTAACATTTTTGTCAAAATAAACAAAACACATGTAAGTGATCATATTCATAAGAACTACTGGCATATAAATGTTCTTACAAAGTGTTTGAGCAAAATGATCAGACTATAATCATGAGATACAGTGTAACCTCTGCAGTATAGCACTACATAGAAAAATTACCGCTTCATATCAACAGGGGCTGCATTTCATAAAATGTCTGAAATCAGTTAAAGGTCACGTGTTAAAAAGTCTACATTTTGTGTCTGCTCCTTAACATTTAAACTGCTGCAATGTTTTTATGATAACTTAGCAGAACAACAATTTTGTGCCCTCTTCAGAACTTTTAAACTCGAAAATTTTGTAATTATATTGGCACAAATGATCACTATCATCACCTACAGGAAGCAACAACTTGGTGGCTACCTTCAAGGTCAACATTATAACAAAACCAGCAGTCTTTAAATTCTCACCTGAATGATTTGTAAACATGAAATGTGTAACAAATAATACATTAGAGTCACAATCAAAGTATTCCACTAGAGCCCATGGAACAGCAATTTTGCCTAAAACATGATACTACCAAATGTGTAAGAAACTTGTTAATAAATGAAGTCTAAAATTATCCATGGTCACCAAGACCTTGACCTAAAAATTTAAACAAATTAAGAGTGTCTTCAAAGGTATCCTTCTGAATATGGAAGTTAATTAACAGACTTTTGTGATGAGCAAATGTGCTTATGATATGCATGGCACAACATCATGGTTATGGTTGGGTAAAAGTCAAGAAGTACACATTCATGTCTACTGCGGAAGAGGATTTAGCTGTACTTCAGACTGCCTTGTTCTAATTTCAAATGGTTTTACTGTAAGATTTACATATCGGTCATACATGACATAATGTGATATTTAAAGACAAACAAGAGTAGACTGTTTTTACTTAGCGGGTGAAAACAATCCCATGCCATAAATCCCTATAAAACGATACATTTATACTTTATATCTGTTATCAACATTTTTAAGTAAAACACACCAATTTGGATTTATCTTTTTTGACAAGATATTGCTTGTTTTTCCTATCTAAATCCATCTACATGGTCGGGGACAAACCCTGCAGTGTCCTTTGATAAATATTTTTGATTGCGAAGATTGGGAGGTTATGCCTTTGTTTAAGAGAACATTTGAAGTGTTTTTGTCACAGATAAAGGTTTTAAAGAGGTTGTTATTTAGTTTAAAGTTGTTAATAAAATGTAATACCTGTCGATTTTAAAGATATATAACTTAGGGAGAATAAACAATAATTATCGTTGTTACTTCCATATATGTATTGAATAAGTAAATAACAATGCAACTCTTAATTAATTGAAAGTGATTCCTTGTCTTTAAACCTTAGCCTGCTGGATGCCATTATATATCTCCCCATACCTCCGTGCTGCACCTTTGAATCATCACCTGCACTGTTCGTTACTCAATCATTAAAAATGATCAATGGTTTTATCAAGATTGAATGATGGACAAATCAGTTAAAGATATTTTGAATAGTAAGGGTTAAAACCTTTAATATTCAGAATAAACATGCAAGCCTTTGTTAATTGTGGTAATTGAAGCTTTTTTGAGGCACTCCTGAGTTCTCTTCTTTGAAACGCATTTGTTTGAATGCATGATCCCTTGGTTAAGAGGCAGGACACCTTGACTAACATGGCACCTTTTCCCCTTTTAACACTCTTTGTATAATTGGACTATACATTTGTACTTTTCATTCATAAATCTCAGAAGCTTTCTGACAAAAATCAAATTTTATTGGAATTCCTCTGCCCTCCTATTCATTACTTTCTTAAAAAGATACGCATACCATTTTATATGAAATATGTTTTTTGGAAGGTAGCCTGTCTAAATAGCTAAACTTACATTATTGTTGTTGAAGTTGTGACCTCTAGGTATAGATAAGTATAGATTTTATTTTAATAGTGCTTTTATCAGAAGATGAAGTGTATGATATAACATAATATATTAACACTTGAGGTGAAATTGTTCTGTGAGCAATCTATTTTTGTGCAGAATTCAACCTAAATTATTATTAATATAAAACCATTTGAGTTTTAAAACTGACATTGCTCTGTCCTATTTGGTGTCCTGCTGAGCTTCTTGCATGTGGCCCTGTGTGGGGGAGGCATACATTGAATGCCACTCTTCCCTGTTGATTTTGTTTTTCATATTTTGTATATTATTGCATTATTTGATATAACTATTTTCTGTATAATATAAATTTGATTCCAGTTTGATGACCCAGTGTTTAATCGTTACAAAGTCCCATTAGAAGTGAACCTACCAGAGGAAAAACCAAAATCAGCAAAATATGAGATTAAGATCACATCAAACAGTACATTTGCCTTCCAAATTATCAGAAAATCAACAGGAAGAGTTCTGTAAGTATAACAGATCTATTTTTTCTATTGACACAATAACATGTTGCCAGTTACTATGTTTGTTATATAATATGCCAATTTTTCATGCCATATGCTGTGGTGTAGTGGTTAGCAAATTGGACCTTTGGTTTGAGTCCTGATTTTTTGTGTGATTATATATATATAATAGCAAAACAATGCTGCTGTTACTCCTATTGGTACATATTTAAACTTAGTTTACACCTCTTAACATGCTAAATGTTTGAAATGGAATTACCCATCTTTTATAGTCGGTGCAGTCCATACAAAAACTAGGGGATTCCAATATCAATATTTTAAAACATTGAGCTACCAATAGTAAAGTGCCTGGTCAGATTACAAGAAAGATAGGTCTGGCTCTCTACTGGTGGCAAAGGGTGATCACTCAAGGTTACAGAAGGCTAAGGGTTACTCGCAACATTTGATGTGCTTTATTTGATGAGAGGACATGAACTTTCTGTTTGGCACTGTACTGTTATGCATTATTATGATGGAGACATATTGTATTGTCTTTGACTGTTCCAATAAATGTTGTATTGTACAGTTATTGTATGTTATATTTGATACGGAGGTGTATCATTAGAAAAACTATATATTTGATTTGATAACAACATATTTAAGCCAAAGATAGAGTCAAATTCATAGGAAAATAAATCTGGAACTATTATTAGTAACTATGTATTCCTATTTGATTTTCTGATATTCACATAATTATTCTTATTGAGAACTTGCAATTTATGAATGTTAATAGAAATCTACTGTTGCACACAAAAAATACAATAACATATATTTTAAGCAGCAATACGGCATTCTTATTTATATTTCAGTTGGGATACTGGTGTTGGTGGTCTGGTATTGTCTGACCAGTTCCTGCAGATCAGTACCAAGTTACCATCAGAAGATGTGTATGGATTTGGTGAAAATCTTCATGATACATTTAGACATAACTTAAGCACAACTACAACCTGGCCTATGTTTGCCAGGGACCAACCTACATCACACTGGGTAATTATTGATATTTGAACATATCATAAAATTGTTTGGTATGTATCATTTGTTAAGCTTCAGTATGTGCATGTCAGGGGGTGTCTGTGGCCTAGTTTTTTAGGTTGTTGACTTCAAACCACTTGCCATTCACTGCTATGAGTTTGAATCTCGACAGGGACTTCTGATTCTCTCATGAGGGGAAATTATTCAGCTAGCTTGTGGAATGTAAGTGGTTCTCTTCAGGTGGGTGTTTGTGTATGAGAAGGGCACCTGAGGTCTTCCTCTACCGGTAAAGCTGGAAAGTCACCATATGACCTATATTGTGTTGGTGCCACTTAAAACCCAACCAGATACATGTATTTTCCCCAATGTTCTTTATTTACATGTTTTATATATGTCTATAGTCTTTTCTGGAGATAAACTGTAGTATTGGTTTGACAATAATATAGCATTATATACTATAAAGGCTTCATTATTAATCATGATACATGAATGTTACTTATGTAAGCTGTATCTCAGATATATTTTTTGGTTGCTCTAAGTCACCTGACATGTATGGATTGACATCAAGTAGATTGTCTTGAACCTTGCAAGGCACACATCTTTGTTGCAGACTTTCTTTTTAAGTTTCATGCTTGTTAAATAGTTAATAGTAAATAGTAAATAGTTACCTTTTATGATGTGTACATTTATAATGATACTATTTTCTGATTTTAGAATCAAGCTAACTTGTATGGTGTACATCCATTCTACACATGTATGGAAGATGATGGCAACTCCCATGGAGTTTTCTTGTTAAACAGCAATGCAATGGGTAACTTTAAGTATTCATTTCTATTTCATACCTTTCTAAATATAACTACCAGTATACTTTCAGCATTTTACTTTCAGCATTTAAACCATGTGGTGTTTAAATAGAAATCATTATTGGATCTTAAATGTTATCAATTTAGCCTCGTTTTCATTTCCAGAGTTCAAAAAAGTCGCCACACATTTTATTTCTAAAGTCCAAAAGTTTCATATCAAATCCATATCACAACCCATATAGCCTTGTAACCATTTTCAGAATCTGAACAGTTCATATCAAATCCACATTGCACCAATTTAGGCTGGTTTTCATTTTTTTTAGAGTCTACCTGAAACTTTACATCACAATTGAAGGTCATTTTCCAAGGTCCATAACTCTTGCATGGATTTTGATTGAATTATAGCACTTTGTGAACTTACAAATTTTCAGTTTTGTGTGCAAGAGTAATCTTCATCACTATTTGAAACTCCACATGTGTCTTCAGGATCTGAAGGTTATTGATCAAGAATCATAACTTTAGCATGGATTTTGACTGAATAATTTCTCTCAAAAATTCCTGTTTTGCATGCAACTTCATGTGCAGTTTTGTATCTCATCAACCACTAAAAGTATTTGCTTGAAATTATGACCTTTAGGTCTCAGTTAGAGGTCACTGTCCATGGTCAGTCACTGAAGCGTAATTTTTAGTGCCTTTGTGAACTAAATAAATTCTTGGTTCAAGTTTTTTGTTGCAGTATTAATCTCTATAACTACTGCAAAATTAGTCTAAAATGGTGCACTTATCTTATAGACCATTATTGAAGATCACTTACCAAGACCCATATCTAATACATACATGTATTTTGCTTGAATAATAGCCCTTTGTAAACTTAGAACATGCAAGATCAGTATCCACCCCTTGTAAACATATTCACATAAAACTTGGCACATGTTTTCAGGATTGTTTTTGCAGGTCACTATCAAAATTTAAAAATTCTAGAATGGACTTGGGATGAAAATACATGCAATTAAATATTGTGGATTTTGGATATAATTTTCCCCTTTGGAATTTCTATATTGTTCAGGTCCTAGTTTTAATATCAAGCACTGAGAATAATCGGGCTATCTTTCTTACAGGCAGCAGTTGTTGTTTTACCTGCTTTGATTTTAGTAGATTTGCTTTGATCAAAGGTTGTACTGCTTATCTAAAAGATCTTTCAGACTTTTTTTTGCATAAATTTCAAAGAAATACCAAAGACATATTTTCATTAATATGAAAGGATTTGTTAAATGTAAATTAGATTCACTATCCAAATAGAATAAAAATCCAAGGATCAAAGAATGCAACACTTTTCAAAATCAATATTCAGTGGTAAAATTTGAAAATAATATGTGCATGCATATTTTGCCTTATTCAGTATGCATGTTATAAAATCTTGTAGGGAAAAGTACACAATACAATGTAAATGATATAAACATTTTTATTGAGATTTGAGATATTGAGAGAAATGTTAATACAATGTTCATATATTCACCTGATTGACGGATCTAACACAGTACAATCAAGTAAAGCTTCTGGCTTTGGTATTAAGACTCTGTGATTCAGGTGGCATCCATGGCTGAGTGGTTAAGGTCCTTGACTTCAAACCACTTACCCCTCAATGCTGTGGGTTCAAATCCTAACAGAGACTTTTTATTCTTTCATGTTAGGAAACTATCCAGCTAGCTTTCAGAATGTTAGTGGTTCTATTAAGGTGTCTGTTTGTGCCTGAAATAATGCACAGAAAGGCACCTGAGGTCTTCCTCCACTAGTTAAGCTGGAAGGTCACCATTTGACCTATACTCTGTTGGTTCGATGTTAAACTCAACCCCTCAAAAAAAGGCTCCTCCTACCAGTAAAGAGCCAGGCTTGCCTGCATTACAATGTAGTCTGACCAAATTTTATATTTCTGACTGGTTAAATTATAATTTAATATGGAAACCTTTAAAGAATAACTGACCAATTAGAAATTTCTAATTCAAAGTTTAGTACATGTCCTTCAATATTGTCAGTTTAAGGTGAGTGATCGCCTATTGGATAAGTTGTCGGCCTCTCAACCCAGGGTAAACAGGTTCAAGCCTTACATATGTCATGGCCATGTTATAAATAACAAATAACACCACTGTACTGGTTAGTTCCATGAAACAGACTCCAAAATGATCAATATAAGTTTCATGAACTTGTTTTGCAATAAAGCCGAAATCAATTTGTTTAAACATAAATAATATTGGTTGATTATTAGCACATATATTACAATGGACTTAATCTTATACATTACTAGTTTTTATCTAACCTTATTTATTAATTGGTTTTATGATGATTAAGTTTGTAAATTTAAATGGTCATAGCAATATGTTTGTTTATTGCAAAGCTTGTTTGTGTACACTATCATTATGTTTGCTGAACTTCCATTTCTGCAGACATTTTCATCTGATAAAGCTGATATTTCATCAAAAGCATCAAAACATTAGAGTACTGGTGTGAAACTATATATTATATTTAATTAAATTTTACAGAGTACAGTTTTAACCCTCTACCCATGTTGACATATAGAACAATAGGTGGTATTCTAGATTTCTACATGTTTCTTGGACCCGAGCCAGAAAATGTTGTCCAACAATATACTGGGGTATATTTTTTGTATATACATTTTTTATTTTATAATTTCAAGGTTAAATATGTTATTATATTATTACATATTCATTAAAGTGATCTTCTTCATAGAAATCAGTCACATTAAAGAAAGGTGTTTCATGATGTCATCTTATTTTACATTTTTTATAATAATAAAATTTTTTGTCAAACATGTTAAATATTAAGTCTGTTGATCATTTAAAGTAAATAGATCAGGTGTAAATTGTTGCACAAGAATTTTATTTCAACTATGTATTAACTTTTTTACCATACCTAGATCATAGAAATAACAAAAAAAATCCTTTTATTAGTAAATGTCTCTGAATACATTATCCAAATATGTTGTTTGCATCAAGCTTGATTATACAACATTGTTTTTTCTAATTTAGTTGGTTGGACGACCATACATGATGCCATATTGGGCTCTGGGGTTCCAAATATGTCGCTATGGTTACAAGAACACGGCAGAGATTGAAGCTGTTGTAAACAGTACAAAGGAATATAATATTCCTCATGTAAGTTTATATAAGGATTTAGTGTTACTAGAGCATGATATGATGATATTTCTGTTGTCTAAGGTTGAACAAAGCTTCAGAATTATCCTTTAAATATGTTTAATGAGTAATTTTTGTTCACATGACCTCAATTATATCTTAGAAAATAAGTGAATAAGTAATACAAATGATCAAATAATGCATAGTTATAAATAAATTATGTCATGATGTGCCAACTGGTACAGAGCCAGGTCTGTCTGTATCTTTGTATAATGACAAGTTGACAAAGCCAAAGAGAGAAAAGAAACTAATAAATAAAAGTTTCACCTAAATGCAAAGTTAGTGAAAATAAGTGGCCAGAAAATTAAGGAAGCAACAGATTAAACTATGTTAGAGATATCTGTCCATATACAGTTTTCTTTAATCTTGTGTAGTACATGCACCAAATCTGCAATATTTCTAGTATTTACCTTGCAGGATGTGCAATATGCAGATATTGACCATTTTGATGCTAACATGGATTTTACACTGGACAAGACAAACTTCGGTGATTTACCTCAGTATTTCACCAAATTGAGGGAAAATGGCATGAGAACTGTTATTATTCTGGTAAGTGACTTTTTCTTTCTTTATTTTTTTAATTTGCTTACTGTAAATTCACTTAATTTTGTGGACATGAAATTTCATGTTTTTTTTCAAAGAACATTTTTGTGGGTACTTAAATTTGTAGACAGTTTTTCTAAAGGCATAATGTAAATAATGTGATGCAAAATATTCTTACAGCATACATACACAAAAATGAAATTTTGTTGGATCTTAAATTCATGGATTGACCTATCCACAAAAAAAATGAAAATTAAAGTTTCCCACAAAAATAATGCAGTATTCCTGAACAGAAATTTATTGTGTTTTTAATGATAATGTGAGATGTGGCAAATATAAAGTAGAGGTAGTAACCAAAGGTTCCATTGCTTACATGATGTAAACACCAACAAACATATCCCTAGTTTAAAGTCTTAATTTTCTAATTTTGTGGGAGAATTTCGAGTGTGGAATCATAGGAGCCAGGTTGATTATTTAAACTCTTGGATTTGCCGGTCTGACTGTGATAGGGAATTCAATCTGGCTCAAGCAATAAGATTTCAGATAAAGTTTATTCAAATACTAGTGTAAAATTCTAATCCAAAAGGGTATTAAACTGAAGATATATGCCAAAGTTTGTGATGATATAAAGATCTTCATTGTTGACTGAAGAATTGTGAAATTTACATTATATTAAGATAAGCAATGGTTTGGTCTCTATTAAATAAAAAAAATGAAATTGAAATATTAAGGGTTTTTAAAACATTGCTATTTGTTTGACATACATAGCAAAGAAAACTTTTCTAAGATGGATAGAGATAAATATTTGAACATTGTTTTTTTTTTAGTATTTTTAAGTTTTAAAAAACAAAAACAAAATGAAAAGATATATATACATATTTAGTCTCAAAAAAATTATTCATTTATCATGCATTGGAAAAAAAAATGGAAGAACCAGATTTTAAAATGTTTATTGACCTCATCCAAGTGTAAGCTTTGGCATCACACTTTTTGAATGGGAATAGATTGAAACATCACACACTTATGTTAGAGCATGATAGGTCACTGACCAAGGTCCATAACTCTAGCATAGTGACAGAATTATTTTTGAACTTTGAAAATTTTACATTATTCAGGATCTTGTTTTTTTTGTTGTGCCCTGACTATCTATAGTCTATAGATATCCTACCAACAACTCTTGTTTAAAAATGACGTTGTATGATGTGTATCATTACTTATTTAGGATCCGGCATTTATTAGTAGCAAGAAAGGGTATGAGCCGTATGATAACCTGACTGCCCTCCGAGGCTCGGTGATGTGGCCGGAGGAACTAAATGTAGCAGACGAGGACATGGATTCAACAAGAGCTTTACTTGGTTACGTAAGTCATGTAAGCCAGTCTAAGCATGCACATTATATAAAACCTTAGCACTATGATAATTTGCTCAGCACTTGAAAATATATATATGTAAATGCTTTGTTTGGGCACAAATGTAATCTTTTAACTTGCATATTCGTTATCATTTGCACAGCACTGTTATTCATATTACATGTATTATGTTTTTTTGTTTTAATTAGTTTATCTCAATTATGACAACCATTTAGCATGCACATCACATAATATCTTAGCACTATGATAATTTGCACAACACTGGTAAGATTATTTGACAATGCATGCCTTAAGTAGTGGGATCATGTGGATAAATTGCTCAGGACTTGATTTATACATATTTGTATTTTACTGAGTTGTGCAATTCACTTAAGCCTTTAACAATTGATTGGTTTAAACATATTTTATTTGTCACACACAAGAACATATTTACATATTTACATACATAACATTTAATACAATCAATACAAAAAAGAATTAGACTGGAAGCAATATAATACTTATTGAAATCTTTTCCTGCTTGATTGCATGAACAAAATATAATAATAATTTTCACAGCTTATAATTATTTATTTATGTGTGTTTTTTTTTTTGCTGCTTTAGACATTATGTAAGATTAATAAGCCTGTTTGCTTGCACATGATATATTGCTGATGGTAGCTACTAAGTTAGCTATGAGAGAAATGTTAACTTGCTGGCTTGATTAATAATATCTGTCATATTTTGCGGTTCGGATCGGAATATCTGTCCCGAGGTTACCTGCCCTTTTGGCGGTAACGAGGCTTGCCGATCCGAATCGCAAACATATGTCAGATATTTTTTCTTGCATATTCTACCATATTCCATTATATTTTAAATCATTTATCTTTAATTTCAATAGAAATTTATATCATTACAACTGTAACTATTTTCTTACGACAGTGTACGAATTACAACTTCATTCATAATGGTAAAATGACGTCATCCTAAGCGTGCCATTGTACAGCACGCGACTCATCTGGCACCCCCCATGCCAGATGAAATTTCCGGCATGAGTAAAACTCACGGAAACGCCAGTCTGATATGCAAGAAATAGTTAGTTATCTAAGCATTAGGCACTGACAGCTTGTAAAATTTGCATATTATATGGTGCTTAAGTGTTTACATTGTACTTGAAAACAAATTTCTTTTATATTTCTAATTGTATGCACATTCAATGTCAAATGAGAGATTGTTACCACTAGCAACTGATTTACATTTTTAAAACATTGTTTATTCTTTTAATGCACCAGAACATGAACACAGTGGATAAATGTTGATTTTTAGCTCGTTTTTAAAATTTACATATATAGGTGTGGCCAAGTGGGAAATCAGTATTTCCAGACTTCTTCAAGAAAGAAACACAAGACCTATGGTCCAAGTTGATTGTTAAACATCGTAATGTTGTCCCATTTGATGGCATGTGGATTGTAAGGATTTCTAGTATTATTAAATCTTAAAATTATACAACTTTCTATTTCCTTATTACCTTATTGCTTAGGTTTAAGGCTTGATTTGCAACAGAATTGTTAATAGTTAAAGTGACTAACTAGTTATTTTAAGGATTGTTGACCACATGGGTTCAAGGATTGCTGACTGTGTGGGATCAAATCCCGTCAAGGGCAAGCAATTGTTTCCGAGAGCAAGATACTTTACAGTCATTGCTTAGTACTGGTTAGTTCCAGGATTGGATTCGAGAGTGTTTCATTAAGCTTATAGCTTCCAATACAATCAAACTAAAATAAATTGGTATAAACTAAAAACTAACTGGAAGAAGCAGTTTATAATATTGTTTTAGCTACAAAATCATGACACTTAATTATTTCAATGATTTTAAATAGCTTGTACAAAGAGTGTTTATTGAAGTTTTCAGTTTTAAATGGCATAATTGATTATCAGGCATAATTTATATAAAGTTATCTTATAGTATGGCACTGTTCAGAATGAAAGGTTTTGTGATTTTTTTGTAATCATGGCTGCTTTTCTCTCATCATTGTTTAGGATATGAATGAGCCTGCTAATTTTGGAACAAATCTTGAGAAACCATGGAACTGGCCAGATAATGTTAAACCATGGAGTCTACATTGTCCTATCAACAATCAGTATGAGGATCCTCCATATAGAACAAGTATAATCTTTTTTTTTATTGAACAAGTATTAAAGTGTAAACTCCTTGTAGAACAAGTATAATCTTCTTTATTGAACAAGTATTAAAGTGTAAACTCCATATAAAACAAGTAAAATCTTTTTTATTGAACAAGTATTAAAGAGTGAACTCCTTGTAGAACAAGTATAATCTTTTTTTATCGAACATGTATAAAAGCTAGTGTAAACTTTATATAGAACAAGTATGATCTTATTTATTGAACAAGTACATGTATAAAAGAGAACAAGTATTATTACTTTTTATTAAACAAGTGTAAAAGTGTAAACTCTATACAGAACAAGTATGATCTTTTTTATTTAACAAGTATAAAAGTGTAAACTCTACATTTAAAAGTTGCATGCCGCAAAATGAGCAAAATATGTCAAGAGAATTAAACTTGAGAAAAATGTACTAAGATTTTAAGAATAGTAAAAATATTCAAGATACATGTTAAGTGTGATAAATGCCTGATTTCACAGTATTGTATCATCATATTGGTGCTGTGTGACTAATGCAGTAAGCACAAACTTAACCAAATTTTAAGGTCAATACCCAAGACCCATAACTATGTCATGTACATTTTTTTATTGAATTTGTAATTCTTACATCATACAGGCTCTTATTTTACTGACAAATACTGAGAATAGTCAAGCATTCTGTCCTATTGACAGCTCCTGTTAAAAATGTATGTCTTACAATCAAGATTTACTAATTTAATTTGTGTTAGTCTTAATGAATGCATTTATAATATTCATATGTATTTAACTTTAGAGGCTGGATATGGCTTTGATAATGCAACATCTGGATTTGAGGGTAGAATAAGTGACAAGACAATATGTATGGTCAGTAGACAGGGCGATAATGGGGAATATAGACACTATGATGTCCACAGTCTGTATGGCTGGAGTGAGGCCCCACCCACTTTGAAGTAAGTTATTACATGAATTAAAAAATATATTCTTAATTTTTTTAGTGCCAGAGTGACATATAAAATAAAGATATACAACACAAATTATAAAAATGAGCATGTAATGTATGTGAATATTCATTTATTATGCTTATGCACTTTCACACTCATGTACTTATAAGGACTGCTCATCCAGAAGATTTTCTTTGTAAGATTTTAGAAGATCAAAGATACAACATGTACTTCAACTAAATGATGTACGTTTTGAACTAATCTGGCAATAACTACAGGCCTATGAGACAGATATAGAGGCAGGCCAGCCTGCATATATATGCATTCTAACACAAAATCTAAATTGTCTATGGATTGATATTGAAATACCTAAAATTGATATTGAACTGTTCCAAATTTAAAGTTGGGCAAGTCCATGTAACAAATGTAGCAGGATAATGGTTAAAAGCATCTACAGTGTAAAGTAATTTTGATTGGTATTGGTAGAGATGGACAATTGCATGGACCTGTAACATTTTTAACTTATCAATATATATTTTTGCAGGGGTATGAGAGAGGCCACAGGTGAGAGAAGCTTTGTGTTGTCAAGATCAACATATCCTGGAAGTGGAAAATATGCTGGACATTGGCTAGGTGACAATGATGCTGATTGGTCGGACTTGAAGAAATCTATCATAGGTCATCATTATTAAATGTTAATACAACTCAGTAGTGTCACATCAAGACCAGCAACTGCCATACCAATAATTTCACCTGAAACGGCACTTAGAGCCCTCTTAACCCACACCTTTACAGATTACAGCTACAAGTTGCTGCTTCAGTTTCCGTAACCACATTAGGCACCTGCAAATTTTTTGTTAAACTTGTCAAAATAGCTTTTACTTTCACTCTTAAATAATTGAGTTAATTGTCATTTTGTCTCCTTGCAACATGACAGCTTTTTTTAAGGTTTAAAATGTGGAGAAAAGAAACAACAAAACAACTTTCAAATTCAATGTTGCTTATTAAATTGAAATATATTTTCTTTCAGGAATGCTTGAATTTAACCTTTTCGGCATACCATATGTAAGTATATGTAGAAACTTTCTTTTTCTATGTAAGATGTTATATTTGCTAGGAACTTCATAATTAATTTTTACTTTGTGTTGTCATCTTAATAATGTCTCTAATTAATTAAAAATTTCAAAGGACCATAAAGCTCATGTGTCAATGAAAAAAACCAACAACAATATTCTGTTGAAAATTTATTGCAAAAAGTCTCCTTATCATAGAAAATTTTAACTTAATAAGAAAATCTTTTGAGGCATAACTATGACCCAAGTCCTTTAACCCATTATTTGCTTTTCCATTTTTGGAAGAGCCCATTAACAATTTTGTGAATTTGAAGTATGTCAGCCAAAAGTATAGAGCCTGTTCAGATTACACAGATGTGCAAGCAGTCACTTTGCTGTATACTGGTGGCAAAGGCTAATCATTATCAATATTAATATTGGTTAAAATAGTTTTAGTCAGAGATATGTCTGTTACACTTTTTGATGAAATTCATTGAGATATTTGATTTCAAATGCAATATTTTATCTTGTTAGATATCTAGGTCATTTGAGATAAAAAAAGATATATACTGATATTTCTAAATTATATTTCTTCTGAATTTTTTTATTCTAAAATGAAATGGTGTATATTCAGGTAGGAGCAGATATATGTGGGTATTTTAATGATGGGTCTGCAGAATTATGTAAAAGATGGCTACAACTGGGAGCTTTCTATCCATTTAGTCGTAACCACAACCAAAAAGATGCCAAGGTAACCTTACATTTCTGTGTCAGCAGTCCTCAGTTTAATCAGTTATAGATAACATCTTCTTTAGTTGAATTGATAAGTTTTATAGGGTATGGCTTGCTGAATGTAATATTATTCAGCTGGATTTGTTTGTTGATGGTTTAAATGATACAATAACATTTATACAAAAATGTAAAAGGCAGTTTAATCTTAATTATTTTAGCTCAAATGTGAAGAAAGCTTGAAGCTTATTTTGAACTGTATCAAGTCTTTTTCTTAGAACTAACCAGTACTGCTGTCAAATGAAGACATTTGATTGTAGCCTCAATAGGACTTAAACACATTATCTCTGAGCTGACTTGCTTAAACCTTAATTACTAGACAGCCATTCCACCTTGTTGTAAACTGTTTTCATTGTCATGATGTATGATATATAGTACACAATCCTCCCATTGAGAATAAGGATGATCTATATTGTTGTAGTTTTAGCAAGGCACCTGGTTAAGGTTTGATTTAATGATTGAGTTTAAATGAGAATTGAGCCCTCATTTGTTGTCATTATTTATTACTATAAATCTGTTGGGGCTAGACTGTGTATCAGTCTGGGAGATTTTAGTTTGGTAACTCTGTCAACGGGTACCTGCATAAATTATGGACAGGAGGCCTGCAATTGTTGTGTTTAGGGAACTCAATCAATGGTTATCATTATAAATATTCCAGGAATCAGTCTGTTTGTTTCTGGTACAGTTACTTGATCAGCACTTGTCGTCATAAATATTGAAAGCTTAGATTTGTCAATTAACACTAGGGTAACCTCCAAATATGGAGAGACAAGGTATTTCATATAAATACCGGTACAAGATTTTCTAGGGCAGTCTAGATTGAAGATTGAAGAACTAGATTCAAAATGCAAGAGTAAGATTGTAAGAGCTAGAGTTGGGATAGGGATTTTTGAGAGTTAATTATACAGTGACTTATCAACCATGTGTGAGGAAGAAAAACTTTGTAACTTTAATTATTAATTGTAGAGTAGAAATTTAGGACACTTTCAAATAAATAAACAGTGAAATGAAACGGAAAACAGTTATTGTGTATTTTTATGTGGAATTATGGAAGTAGTAGAAATTATAAATTACAAGAGAGAAGAATTTATAACAATATGAAACAAATTTAGCCAATGAGTTGATAAGTTGGTTTAGTCTTTCCACAGTGGTTCCAAAAATTTATGCTGTTTTGCAATTTTTCGATGTCCCGGATACGTTATTATGTATTCATAACTTTAGTTAATCGGTACTTTTGGCAGAAATTATCTGCCAATGCTTAAAACACTAGAAAATATGCAAAAACACCACAAAATGTGATTTTAATACCTTACACCATTCTCAAAAATATTCAAAATCGGTCTTTTTGCCCTGTCGCTAGAACGGTAGTAATATTTTCAAATGAGTACTATTAACATCAGTTAAGAAATTTCTAAGAAAAAAAACTTTTTCTCAGTAACTAAAATAGACCTACTGTACTTAAAAAAGGAAAATATCTATCCAGTTAAAACCTCATAGCCGCGGGGTTTGATATTCATGTCTCCAAAATAATTAACTTCTGTTACAGTTATCAAATTTGTTTGTATAAAGGTATGTACTTTTCAAGAATGTCGTGATTGGAAAATAATATCAGGGATTTTGTTTTTAAAATTGTTAAGACCCTTTTATTATTTCAAGTTAATATTCGGGGGTCGAAAGCCCAAACATAACATTTCATTGTTTCTGAGAAAAACAAAAAAACGTGTTTAACTTTTCCGTGACCCAAAAAATCGTTAGGAACATTGCAAGTAGATAACTTCGCCCTATAAGGTTCATAAATTTTTTAAGGCTAACAGAAGATGGTGAATGGTGTTTATTATTTTTAAAATGTGATATTTAAATATTGAAAAATCGTTTTTCAAAGAAAAACATTTTTTAACTTCCCGTTTACTGTTAACTTCCCCTTTACAAATTTTTGGGTAATTGTTACCTACCTATGCTAGAATGATTTAAAAAGAATATTTGAAACACTTCCAAAATATCTTTTAGAAGCAAAGCCAGCATACTTTTAAAATGCAAAAAAGTGCAATAATATTTAATTCAAAATTAGCTTTTTATCCGTTTAAACGGGGGTGAGTGTTTCATTTAATTTTCCCTTTCCCAATTTTCCCCCAAACCCAAAAGTTTAATTCAAAAAGAAAGTTAATTTTTGTGAGAAACTGTATTTCTGTAAATGGGGGAAATGTAGAAATTTTTTGAAATCTTTTGTATTTTCAATGTACAAAACGTGATGTTTGCTAATGTCGAGGAAAATGTTTATCTGCACGGAAAGGGGAATTTAAATTTCCCAAAAATTGTTTAAAAATTCTTTTGTTTTGCAAAAAAAGTAAAAAAAGTGTTTTTAACAATTTTTTTTATAAAAAGCAATGAAAGTTATTACCTTTTCGTTTTTTTTTAAATTTCCCAATTATCGGGGCCCCCAAAAAAAATTTTGTTTTTTAGAAATTCAAGAAAAGGGTAACAAATTTAAAAATTTAATTTTGGGCGGTTTTTTCTTCCTTTTTCAAAAAACCTTTCTTTAAAGGGACAAAATTATTTGACAGAAAAGTAGCACTCTATCCCACATAATAAAAAAAAAAACAACTTTCATGTGACATTTAGCTCGACTTTTCTGCATAATGTAAAGTGTGTGGTAACGGAAGTTAATAGGATTCTGCTGTTTCAATAACCAGTTTTGATCTCATTGATACAGAATAATAATCATTGGATTTTGGCAAAAACTAGAATTTTTTGTGGTGTTATAATGACAAATGTTATATATTTTACTTGAATTAAGCCAAAGTTATACACACCTTGGTTAAGATTTTTCTATATGAAAAGGGGAGCTACCACTCGCCCGGCGTCGGCGTCGCGTCAAGGCGTCGGCGGTTGGCGTCACTTTTATTTCGTACCAGAAGTATTACAAGTATGGCTTTGAAACTTACCATACTTGTTCACCATCATAACCTCCATCTACAGACAAGAGTACATAACTCTGTCAAGGTTTTTGACAGAATTATGGCCCTTTTTTGACTTAGAAAGTGTATTGAGCTTGGTTAAGTTTTTTTTACCACCTCACTTTATTTTCAAAACCATTGGAGGTATTGCTTTGAAACTGACCATACTTGTTTACCATCACGACCTTCATCAACAGACAAGAGGACATAACTCTGTCAAGATTTTTGACAGAATTATGCCCCTTTTTGACTTAGAAAATACATTGAATATGGGTAAAATCCACTTATTGCCTTAACCCTTTGAGATATTGCTTTTGAAACTTTTAATGCTATTTCACATCATTACCCCCATCTGTACGCAAGAGAAGGTAACTCTGTCAAGGATTTGTTTTAAAAATTAAGGCCTTTTATCGACTTAGAATCTTGGTTAAGTTTTTAGTACCAGTCCACTTTTTGACTGAACTGTTTGAGATATTAATTTGAAAGTTGGAATACTTGTTTACAATCATGATTCCCAAACATGTCCAGGAGAAGGTAATTCTGTCAAAGATTTTATTTGAATTATGGCCCTTAACTGTCAACGTTTTGTATTATAGGCAAGCACTAAAAAACTTAAAAAATCTAAAAAAATTCATTCCTATCCACTTGTTCACTTTACCATAAATTATGTCATAATAAAATAATTCTTCACTAAATATCTTAATGCTCATGGCCATTGTTCACTTTAAAAATACAGAGATTCTTGTATTGCCTTTTACTGCAAAAACTTTTTTTATTGGCAAGCAATAAAAAAGTCGAGCGCGCTGTCTTACGGACAGCTCTTGTTGTTCTTATCCTTAGTTATGTGTTGGCCATATCTATAAAGCGATGGTCATTAAAGAGCTAAAAGAAGCATATATTTTACCAAATTGACTGCAATTATTAAAATAATCCACTTCTATATAATACAACAACAAATATGTATTAGATAATTAGTTTGTATCATTTTCTTTTATATTTTCACCAAGTTTAATGTTATCATTTTATCGGAATCAAAATTGGACCCGCTTCATGACCCCTTAGGCCCTTTTTAATGGAAAAAATTTAACTTTGGCCCTTTAGTATGTAAGGGAAAGGGAACCCCTTTTTTAAATTAATATATTTTTTGTTTAAGGTTTGGGGCCCTTTCCCAAAAATGTATTCTTGATTTTTGGGTTCCGATTTGAAAATGAAGCTGGTCTCTACATTGCTAAAATATTTTTTAGGACTTTTAAGGGGTTCCCAATAAAAACCCTTTAAATTCCCCCTTAATAAAATACACCCTTAAATATAATAATAAAAAAAAAACTGTTGTTTTTTACAAAAGGCCCCATGGCAATTTAAATAATTAAAGAGTATTTTTTTTTTACATAAAGCCATCATTTTTTAAATTTGATCCCAAGAAAACTTTGGAAGAAAGAAAAAAATGAAAAAATTGAAAAAAAATCCTTTTCTCTTCCTGGGGGAATTTGAAGTGGTAAATTTCAAAAGGGTTAACTTTGGGTTTTTTTAAATTTTTCCTTATAGATTTCATTATGAATCTCAAACCCCTAAAACCAAAGGATGATGGAAAATTTTGAATATTTTTCAAGTTAAGCCATTAATCGCCCCCAAATACCCCCTCTTTTTAATATACTAAATTTAGTTAGGGACTTTAGATATTTTTACGGCCCAAATATTTTAAATTTCCCTTTGAATATTGTAAAAATGTTTTTCTTAATTTTTCCTTTCTTTCAAAAAAAAAAATGTTTTTAATTCATTAATTTTTTGGGTTGTTTACAAATCGGGAAACTGAAACAGTTTACTTTTTAGATTTTTTAAAAATATGCTATTTTGGGTCGGACGTCAGTTGATGCTTTTGAAATCAAATTTTTTTAAAAACCATAAAAAAATAAAATTAAAAATTTTTGGGTTTAACATGTTCCCTTAAAAAAAATTACATATTATTGATACAATTTCTCAAGCAAATGCCAGTATTTGCTAAACATTGAGTTCCAAATATTTAACACTTGAAGCAAATCTTTTGTTTACGAAACATTCTTTATTTGATTTTTTTTTAAATTTCATTAACCTTTACATTGAAAAATAATATACCACTGTTACAAACATAACCCTGTTTCTTGGAAGGCACCTTTCCAGCTTGTATGCGTATGCTGTAGGACTTTGATGTTATTTTGTGTTGTGCACCATCATGCTGCATACAATTTACTTAACTTGCCCGATATACATTAGAGGCAAGTTATTTGAGGTAAAATATAAAATGTTTGACAGCAAATATCTGACAGTTTAACTTCCGTTACTGACCGTTACTGACTCTATATGTAAAACTAACAAGTACAAGAAAACATAATTTGATAACATTTGATAACAGTCAATGCCAATGGTTTCTATTGAATATGTATATAGCTGAATATGACAAAAGTGTAACACTCTTTCTTTTTTAGCTCGACTTTTCTATGAAAAGGGGAGCTATCCTACTCGCCCCGGCGTCGGCGTCGGCGTCGGCGTCGGCGTTGGCGTCACACCTTGGTTAAGTTTTTCGTACCACCCCACTTTATTTCAGAAGTATTACAAGTATGGCTTTGAAACTTACCATACTTGTTCACCATCATAACCTCCATCTACAGACAAGAGTACATAACTCTGTCAAGGTTTTTGACAGAATTATGGCCCTTTTTTGACTTAGAAAGTGTATTGAGCTTGGTTAAGTTTTTTGTACCACCTCACTTTATTTCAAACCATTGGAGGTATTGCTTTGAAACTGACCATACTTGTTTACCATCACGACCTTCATCAACAGACAAGAGGACATAACTCTGTCAAGGTTTTTGACAGAATTATGCCCCTTTTTGACTTAGAAAATACATTGAATATGGGTAAAATCCACTTATTGCCTTAACCCTTTGAGATATTGCTTTGAAACTTTTAATGCTATTTCACATCATTACCCCCATCTGTACGCAAGAGAAGGTAACTCTGTCAAGGATTTGTTTTAAAAATTAAGGCCTTTTATCGACTTAGAATCTTGGTTAAGTTTTTAGTACCAGTCCACTTTTTGACTGAACTGTTTGAGATATTAATTTGAAAGTTGGAATACTTGTTTACAATCATGATTCCCAAACATGTCCAGGAGAAGGTAATTCTGTCAAAGATTTTATTTGAATTATGGCCCTTAACTGTCAATGTTTTGTATTATAGGCAAGCACTAAAAAACTTAAAAAATCTAAAAAAATTCATTCCTATCCACTGAACCTGCAGTGTTCAAGGGTATCAACACAATTCAGTAAAATAATTCTTCACTAAATATCTTAATGCTCATGGCCATTGTTCACTTTAAAAATACAGAGATTCTTGTATTGCCTTTTACTGCAAAAACTTTTTTTATTGGCAAGCAATAAAAAAGTCGAGCGCGCTGTCTTACGGACAGCTCTTGTTTCATTAGTTTTGCGATTGTTTTCTTATAAGAAAATAGTCACGTTTTAAACCTGCTCACTTAAGTTATTCTCTGTTTTATTATTTTTATTAAAATGGTCTTTTGTGTCAAATATTCCGTATATATTTTATATATAAGATCTCTTCTGCTTGCCAATATGTTTTTATCATTGATAAACTGAGATCTAGAACAGTAAAATACTTCATATTTGACCCTGTTCAGAAGTTTAACTTCCGTTACATTGAAAATAAGGTGTACATTTTTGAGTCAAAGCAATTTGAAAATCTGTCACATTTGGTGAGCAATTGTTTGTAACAAGTCGCCTAACATATTTTACTTATTGAAAAAGTTGTTAAATCATGATTTCATGTTGATTGATTTTAAGTCATTTTTCATATCTGAAAACAGCATAAATTTCTGGATTGACTTTCCATTGTTTTTCATTTCCCTTTTTTAAGACATGAATACGATGTATGTAATATTTCAGGACAATCATCCTACAGTTTATGGTCCTGAAGTTGCTAATGCAGCGAGGGAAGCACTGGAAACTAGATACTGGTTATTACCCTATCTATATACACTGTTCCATAAAGCACACACAGAGGGCAGCACTGTAGTCCGACCACTGTTTCATGAGTAAGATCTTTATATGTGTATATTCATCTGTTTTTCTTAGTAGTTTAACCTTTTTGATGTTCATTTTTGTAGAAAAAAATTAAGTTATATGACCAAAAACATTTCAGACAATGCTTGCAATATTGGGATTTCTTTTATTACGGTTCGTTAAATTTTTAAGACAATAGACCCTTTGATTAAAGACTTTTTTAAAGTTACATCAATAGTGCAATACAGCAATGATTGAAAATGAAATGCAAAACTTAATAATGGATAAATTCTATATTGTATTCATACTTGATATAAATTATTTACAAGATATACTAAAAGAAGCATTCAGTAATTACTTAATGAGATTGTATGTATGTCACTGATTGTGCTTATAGTAGTTATGTGATTGTGCTTATAGTAGTTATGGCAAGTTATATACATGTACTAACATAACAACCGCCTCCGTGGTTGAGGGGTTAGAGTCGATGACTTCTAATCCAGGTACCTCTCTGGCGTGGGTTCGATCCCGGGAGATGCTTTGGTAGTTTAGCGCTGGGGAAGGAAGTCTAGTACTGGGGTAACTCTCCAGGAACGATGGTTAGGAAACTACCCGCCTATATGACTGAAATACTGTTGGGAAAGGCGTAAAATGAAATAAACAAACAAACTAACATCACAGAGCCAAGCTTAGTCACCATACTTAATCATTCAGACTGTACCTCAAACCTGTATTGTTGGGCTTTAAGATTTTACTATCAAATTTTGTCAACAATATGTTATATTGCTTAACTATTGTTTATCTATGAATATAGCAAATGAACATAATATTATTATTTACTTCACAAGGTTTGTTGGAATTTCAATTTTACATTAAATTATGTGAAAACATATTTTATTTTACAGATTTCCTGAGAATAAGTTTGCAAGGAGTATTTATGTATACAGAGAGTTCCTCTGGGGGAAGGCATTACTTATAGCACCAATAACAGATCCAGTAAATATGTTTTCTTCTCTTTTTTTTTAAACTGTCTCAAAAATTGCATGATGACAGATTGTCAGTTCATTTAGGTGTCAAATATCTTTTTTAATTCCTTGAATAGTTTGAGCTTGAATATGGCACATAAATTCCTTGTCACAGTAACTTAAATGAAAATACCTTGATTTTCATAAATCCATAGAATGATTTAAGACAAACAATTTTTGATACTATATTATGGCTAAAATTGACTAATAGTCTAGTCAATATACCCTCTATAAAGAATTTACTTTATATGTTCTTTTGCAAATTTAAAAGTAAGTTAAACATTTATGTTTGAGAAGTTTTTACTTGATATGTTCTAATATAAAGAAAATTGGACCTGATAAGATTAAAAAGTTCAGCTGTAATTTTATTGTTTGAAAGTTTAACTTCAGTTTTATTATTATGTTATAGAACCAGAATGAGTTGGATGTATACATGCCAGGTGGAGCATGGTATGACTTCTATGATGGTCACAAACAGAGTAGTAAACTAATTACCAGACAGGTTGACAGTAACTCTAAGATAGGATTATTTGTGAGGGGAGGTTTCATTCTACCAATGCAGAGGCCTGCAAATAACACAGCTTACAGGTTACCCTTGTTTCAGTTGAAATCTTTATATTAAGAATGATCATTCATTTTTATAAGCAGCATAATATTATGATCATTAACATGCCGTGCTATTATATGCTGTATAGAGGATGTTCAATAATTTATTTTGTGTATATGTAAGATTAAAGTATATTTTATAGAATGAACACCAGATGTAATGTTTTTACAAGTGGCATAACATCTAAGCACTGTGTATTCAGTTATTAGTAGATTTATGATTAATATCAAAATATTTCCTTAAGTTTGCAAAGATAAACTGACATTTTAATGTTTTTTATTACTTGTATCCTGAATGAGGACAATTTGTAGAATTAGATAATAACATAATTGGTTGAAGATCATTTGTTGAAGGTGTCACAGTTTAGAAGGGTTCACAATATAGGGGAGAAGATGTGTAAGTGGCCGGATAGCTCTGTCTGTAGAGTCATGGAACTGTATTTCAAAGGTCCTGAGTTCATGTCCTGGTCAGGCTGCACATTTTCTCACCCTGTGACAAAGGATATGATAATGATGGATTTAAACCATCAGTCTCTCGAGCCTTCAGTACCATCTGCTCAGACTCTTTTCTAATTCTGTTGGCTGTTATACTTGTGACCAGCTAAGCCAATTATACAATTTTAAAATAAAAGCCAGACAAGTTCATATTACTAAATCTTCACCATATTATCACTTTTGATAAATGAAAATTTAGAAAACTATTTGTTGGATGCCTGTGACCCTTCCTTAGTGGTTCAAATGTTTTTCCTTGCATTTCAGTCGCAAGAACCCATTAAAACTCCTGGTTGCCCTTGACGACAGTGGTTCTGCAGAAGGTGAATTATTCTGGGATGATGGAAATTCCGTGGGTATGTTTGCACTTTACTTTAATGGGAAATAAGTGTTCAATCAAGAGAATGTTGAATCATGGAACTAAATCACATGTATGACAATAATGAATATCTGGAAAAAACTGGTATCTTTTGTTCTAAAATAAATATTTTACTATAGTATAATTGTCTCCTTTATTGATTATCTGCTTAACATTTCATTATCATCAAAAAAAATAAAAAAAATATTTTATGTACCTTTTGTATTTGTAAATTTTATACACAATATCTTGAACTTTTTTGGTTTTTTTTCATTTAGATACATATGAGAGTGGAAATTACTTCTTTGCAAGATTTAAGGCACAGAGGGTCAGTATCATGCTTTTATTGACATAACCTTTAGAATGACAGCAGTAACTTATCTTTAGCATAAATATAAATTGCCATCACCATCAACACTGTTGGCTGTTTGATTTTTGAATTTTGTTATAGAAATCTTAGTAGTTCTGAATTCAAAGCAGTACAAGTTTATTAACAAATATTGTACAGAACAGCACAGAGTCTGTTTAGATTATACATATGTTAAAGCGGGTCTGGGCTCCAAAAATTTGTTTGGCATGGGGTGGGGCCGGGAAAATCACAATAGGTTTAAAAAGGGGGGGAAAAGATGTCTGATTTTAAAAATGAATTTCATAAAAAGTGTATATTGGCGCTTTGTCTCTAGTTGAATATTTATGAAGTCTTTTACCAGCATGTTTAATGTCTCAGTCCATCAGCAAATGTTTACTTTCTACAGGTTTTTGAGAAATTAAAAAGGTTATAGAGTACTCAAATCATGTATTGAATGCCAGTTGATACTTTATATGATAATCAAAACTTAAATCTAAATAATCGGAAATGACAAGGTTTTTGTTTTGTTTTGAGTTATCTTTTTCTTTTTCAGAACTCTTTAACCATGGAGATAGATCATGACAATACACCAGACCTTACTTACCTCCATTTTGAAGAGATTCAGATATATGGGGTACTTGTTGGAGTAACTAGGGTCTATTGTGATGGAAAGGACTTAAACTATACATCTCAGGTATCATATCAAATCATATTTCATGAATTATGAAAGAGTGTATTTTTATGTTTATCAATTACAAAATACCATAAACATTTATCAAAGCATTTAATAATTTTTAAAAATGTACAAAGAGTTATTGCTCAGCTTGACAGTACCTCTCTACAGAGACAAAATTATCTGCCTGTGTCTCTGAAAGATATTACAACGATATAAACACAACCTTTACCAAACAACTACATGTATAATACAAATGGTAGGAAGCTGTCCTGCTATGTTTTATAAAGTTGGAGGTTCTACTAAAGTGTCAGCTAGTGCCTGAAATAGTGTATGGAGAGACCTGAGATGTCCTCTGACAGTAAAGCTGGAAAGTAACCAAACCCTTGGTACCCTATACTAGTATATCTTTCAAGCTGGACAAAACCAGTCATCATTTTAATGAAAAGTATCAAAATATGTACTAACTGTATAGTGAGAAGTGCAGACCATGATCAGATGACACCAATGTTCCGCTGATCGTGGTCAATAGTGGTTGCATAGCTATATTCAGTTGCCAACAATAGGCTAAGGTTTAAAACCTAATTAATAAATTCATCATTGATGTGAAACTAAGAAGTGACTATATCAACTAAATGTGTTATAATTACTTTCCTGGGTTATATTCCTATATTTTATGAAAAGTTATATATATTTTTATATTTGTAGGATGACATGAATGTGTTAACTATTAGCAACTTGACTATACCACTCACTAGAACTTTTACTATTTACTGGAGGTAATCTTTTTTGTTTATGCTTCAATTTTTTTCATTCAATATTAAAATGTTTATATAAATATGAACATAACATAAGTACATGTATCTACATAATAGCAACATTGCTTTACTTTGATGATAAATTCTTAACTTAAATAATAAAACATCATGGATCTATTAAAGTCCAGTTCAGTTAGTGTACATCTACAATACTGAGAAAACGGAAAATGGATATAGATTCTATACTTTGCACTTTTTCCAAAGCAATTTTAGGGCTTGTTTATCCCATTGTTTCTTTCCTGCCATGTTGCAGTTTTTCTATGAGCCTTCTTTATTGGGTGATATCTCAAATAATTGGTATGCAGGCACCTAAAGATTGTTACCATTGGGTGTGGTGGGTGAGAGAGGTTGAAATTTTTCATCAAAATTTAGTAAAACTTTGTTCACTGTCAGTGCAATGTGAGGAAATATCTTTTAGTGTAACACATAGTCTAATAGCACTCATTTAAAATAAATCCTCAGAAAGATTACCCTTTCTTTTATTAAATGAAATACATGTACAAAATGTACTTATTTATCTGGATATATATATAAAGAAATAAAATGTTATATGAGCCGCCTCATGGCAAAATCAACATAATGGGTTGGCAACCAGCATGGATCCAGACCAGCCTGTGCATCCGCACAGTCTGATCAGGATCCATGCTATTTGCCTACTGACCCTATAACAAGTAAAGAAACTGATAGCGAACAGCTTGGATCCTGATCAGACTGCCCGGATGTGCAGGCTGGTCTGGATCCATGCTGGTCGCAAACCCATTATGTTGGTTTTGTAGTGACGCGGCTCAATTATAAGCTTCACGTAGGACTCTTTCATTGCTTCATGGTGTTAAATATGCTTGGTTAACATTATGAAAAACACAACAGACCAGATATGATGAATATCTCACTAGAAGAATTACTACTATTATCTATTAATAATTCTTAGATAAGATAATTATGATATTTTTTAAAGATAATTATGATAAGATAATTATGGTTCCAGTTTAGAGACAGAGGATGAAAGGGAGCGTCATGATTGCATGCCAGAATCCATGGGTGGAGTTGTGAAGGTCACCAAAGAGTCATGTGAAAAACGTGGTTGTATCTACAATGGGGATGCCTCCCAGGGACCAACATGCTACCTGAATTCTGTAAACTATGGCTACACCATTATCAACACCACTTCTACAGAATTTGGTTCTATATATCACCTAAAACATAAGGGACGAAATAACCCATTTAGTAACCTTGGAAGCCCAGATATACCTGATGTTTTATTTACTGTTGAAATGAGAGGAAATGATGTACTTAGATTTAAGGTTAGACCACTTTTTAGATCGTTTTATTTTTAAATGAATAAAAATTTCTTTGTAAAAGCTACTTTGTCCATTGGGAGCTATTTTACGCTAACAATGAGTTAAAACGTATCATTAGACCAAAGAATCCATAGAACAAAAAACAAATGATACAAAACAAAATTGAGTTTGTTGCCCATTGGATTTCAACCTTACTGAAAATCAATACCACACCCTCACTTCCCCACCCCCAGTCCCCAATAATCCCAATAAAAAGGTATCAGATAAGGATGGTCACATCTTAAATTGATTTCAGGACTCTTTTTGTTTAAAAATATTCCCAATATTTGAACTATATTGAACTGTATGTTATTGTTTTTTCAGTTTGAAGATGCCACCAAGAAAAGATATGAGGTTCCTATTCAGATGAATCTTGCTTCAACCAAAGGTTTATTGCCCAGATACAAGATCAAAATTACAGGGGGTGACAATTTCTCCTTCCAGGTGTTGAGAACTAGCAATGGAGAAGTTCTGTAAGAAGATCATTATTATATTTTTAAATTCTATACAATATTTTTATTTACCTTTCTTTTTCTTTTCTTATTTGTAATGATATGAACAAGTAAATATTAATATATTGAAATTTGTGTTTTCTCCTTTGATACTTATTTGGTTGAAGTCTTCAATCTAAGTGATAGAAGTTGAGGCATAAAGTAGATATTTCATTAATTTTTTAAGTGATGAAATAATTATACTAAGAGATGAAAAGTACCAGTAGATAGTTCAATGAGGAATAAGTAATAGAATATAGCTATGTAATGTACTGGTAGTTATTTCAAAATATTGTAAAGTACAGGTGATATTTCAGTATGGGGTAAGTGATAACTATATATTTTGATGTCGGAAAGTGATAGGGATGTAGTATTGTTGTGTAAAGGTAAAATAAAAGGTTGAATAATGATTTGTAGAATCATTTTTAGCATTCATATTATATTTGCTATTTATTATAAAAAAAAAAATTGCTTAGAAATGAAACTGAACATTTACATGTTTTGGCTACAACTATAACTTGAAATATGTGTCTTCCTTTCAGGTGGGATACAGGTATAGGTGGCCTTACGTTTTCAGAACAGTTTCTACAAATATCAACAAAGTTACCCTCTAAGAATATTTATGGTTTTGGAGAGAATGTACATGACAGTCTCCGACATGATCTCAATAACAGGATGTGGCCAATGTGGTCTAGAGATCAACCTGCAGGGGTAATTACTGGCTTATTTATGTTTATAAATTGTTTTTACCGAATTTGTATAATGAATTTGCCCTGCTCTAAATTTTGGAACAGTCCATTCAAATTTTAAGGGATTTCATTAACAAAATGCTAAAAAAAGCTAGCAGCAGTATATAGAGCTTGGTCAAATTCCAGAAGGTAATGTAAGTTTATATGTGTGATACAAATTGAAATGTAATCTGACAGTATGCTTCATTTATCAGTCTTTAGGTGCAGTGTTTTTAATTAGTTTGATCTCTTAAGTTTGTTCATGGCATTATTGGTGACTTTCAAGCTACAATGTTTAAGGATTACAATAGGTAAATGTTCATCTACCACCAAAGACAGAGGTAACTTTCTTGTATGAATGAATACAACATTCCTGTCAACATTTCAACAGCCTGAAAATATTATTCAAACTGGTTTATGGATAATCCTACAGGTTGAGGATTTTGAATAAATTGAGCCCTTTCCTCTAGTGCAATTCTTTTGCCAGTAGACCCAATAAAGTTTACACTCAGCATGCCTCAAATATTGTCTGATTGATAATCTGGATTTATTTAACAGTAAAAATGTATATACTGCATAATTTGTTTCTAGGGTCATCTAAATCACTATGGAGTGCATCCATTCTACATGTGTGTGGAGGGACAAGAAAATGGTGGTCATTCACATGGTGTGTTTCTACTCAACAGCAATGCCCAGGGTTAGAAGAACTTGTTTTTTATTTCAACTAGTTTATGCCTAACATGTTAAAGTTCTTTTAAGAAACTCTTTCATTCATGCTCAAACATTAATTTTATAAATTGATGTGCTTTGTATAAGATAATAACAGCAGTTCTCAAAAGTAGTTATCTTAACAGATCATAACACTTAACACTTATCTTACTTATTTTTTTGTTGGAATATTTTTCAGACTACAGTTTTAACCCTCTTCCCATGTTGACATATAGAACAATAGGTGGTATTCTAGACTTCTACATGTTCCTAGGACCAGAGCCAGAAAATGTTGTCCAACAGTATACTGCGGTATTTATTACATTGTTTAGAGTACTGTCTTTAGTTAGCAATTTGTTCAGAAAATCTCACAGACGTCCTTACTTATGGGTAATAATATGTCTACTCTTGCATATAAGACTTTCTAGAAAAATCTGTCTTACAGTTACACCCGCTGTTTGAGACTTGACATGTGCTTATGACGTCATTCCGGCACACCTTATATGAATAAATTACATGACATCATTAAATTTTGGCCGTCATGGATGTAGTTATAAATTTATATCATACATTGAGAAAAAGTGTTCAATGAAAAAATCAGTTTTCATAATAATTTCTTTCTGAAATATGATTTATATGTAACATGCATGATAAAGAATCAAATGCTGGCTATAGTCACAGATGGGAATATCTAGCTCAAGGGTTAATTTAGCGAAAACTTGGCAGTTGCTCATTCCTACCATTCACAGTTACCCTTGAGCGAGATATAATGGTCTATACTGGCAGCCAGCGCAAGTTTATTAGACAACATAATCTATTGTTCTTTATTCTTCCTGTTCTTTTGTATCCATAAATTAGCTCATAAGAATATTTTCCGACTTTAAAATTTTTAAAATTTGGAAACAGTTAGTGTAAAAGATCAATCAAAATTATAAAAAATAATCATAAATTTTGTTTATACTTGAGTCCATATAACATTCCTATATAATTATAGATATATTGTCATTTTATTATGTTTTTATCTGAGCCCATAAGATAGAATATTAGATTGATTGTCATTCTATTATGTTTGTATCTTATATTTTCAGGCTATTGGACGACCTTACATGCCAGCATATTGGTCTCTAGGTTTCCAACTATGTCGCTATGGTTATAACAATATAACAAACCTTCAAGATGCTGTGGAAAAAACAAAGGCTGCTAGGATACCTCATGTATGTTTTCATTGCTTAATTATAATTAAATGACAAAATTGATGTAAACTTGACTGCTAAAAAAATATAAGCCCTATCCAATTCGATCTAGCACTTGTGGCGAAGACAGCCTAAGCGTAACAGTTATGTTATGGTATTGAGTACATCTTATCATATCTCATTATCTTATGAAGTCACATGCAACTTGAAACATGTCTTCAGGATGATCATAGTAGGTCATGGTAAAGACCCATAATTTTAGCTTTGATTATTAGTGATGGACTTATGCACCTTTTTCCTGCAAAGGAAAAGACTAAAAAGTCCTTATCCAAGTGGTTATGGTTTTTGCCTCCTCATCACTTCCGCAATACACCTGTTGTTAAAAATCTTGACAGGAATGGTGATTTCATCATGTAAAAGAATATCTTGCTAGCTTACAGTCAGTCAGTAATTCACAACTTGGGATTGTTTATCATATACTATTGTTTGACTACAGGATGTACAGTATGCAGATATTGTTGTTTATCATATACTGTTTTTTGATTACAGGATGTGCAGTATGCAGATATTGTTGTTTATCATATACTGTTGTTTGATTACAGGATGTACTATATGTAGATATTGTTGTTTATCATATACTGTTGTTTGATTACAGGATGTACTATATGCAGATATTGTTGTTTATCATATACTGTTGTTTGATTACAGGATGTACTATATGCAGATATTGTTGTTTATCATATACTGTTGTTTGATTACAGGATGTACTATATGCAGATGTTGTTGTTTATTAAATACTATTGTTTGATTACAGGATGTATGCAGATATTGTTGTTTATCATTTACTGTTGTTTGATTACAGGATGTACAGTATGCAGATATTGTTGTTTATCATTTACTGTTGTTTGATTACAGGATGTACTATATGCAGATATTGTTGTTTATCATATACTGTTGTTTGATTAGAGGATGTACTATATGCAGATATTGTTGTTTATCATATACTGTTGTTTGATTACAGGATTTACTATATGCAGATATTGTTGTTAATCCTATACTATTGTTTGAATACAGGATGTACTATATGCAGATATTGTTGTTTATCATAGTATGCAGATTGTGTTGTTTATCATATACTATTGTTTGATTACAGAATATGCAGTATGCAGATATTGTTGTTTATCATATACTGTTGTTTGATAACAGGATGTACAGTATGCAGATATTGTTGTTTATCATACACTATTGTTTGACTACAGGATGTACTATATGCAGATATTGTTGTTTATCATATACTATTGTTTGATATTATATACTATTGTTTGATTACAGGATGTGCAGTATGCAGATATTGACCACATGGATGAGAGGATGGATTTTACAATAGATAATAAAAACTTCCCAGGCTTAAATACTTACTTCAAGTCACTTCAGAAAGAAGGAATGCACATTATTATCATCTTGGTATGGAATATTTGAATTATCATCAATATTATATAATGTGAAGTGTTCATATTGATAAAAATCTTAAAACCAGTCAATTTGTTAATGTTATTTTTCTGAATGATAAACATGGAACATAAATCTGACAAGAATTTATACAAACAGAATGAGTTTTTCTTATGTTTTTAGTTTTGGGTATTATGAAGCCGCGTCATGACAAAAAAACCCAAACCCTAATGGGGGTTTTTCGACAAGCAAAGGAAACCAAGACCAAAGCCTGCGCATTTTGCGCAGGGCTGATTTAGGAAACCATGCTGCGCAAAACCCAATTTTTTTGGGTTTTTTCATGGCGCCCGGCTCCATATGTATTTCTGATAAGGACAGTCTAGCAAATCTGTGTTAAAGTGTGCATCTTTTTTATTAATTGGTTTATACAAATGTAATGCAAATTTATAATCAAATACATTGCATTCTTATTGTTTCTCACTCTGTTGTTTCTGAAATTCTCTGAGTTAAATATGTCCTGTGATATGTTAAAATTAATAAATATGTGTTATTTCCATTTCACAGGAGAGGGTGGTTTTTTTTGGTGTTGAATAATTAAATGATGCAGTTCTTTTTTGTTATTTTTAATTCCTATACCAAATTGTTGTACAAGATACAAGATACAAGAAACTTTATTTTTAAGTGGGTTTACATATTACAAGAAACATTACCAGTAGCTAATAAGCTATTTACCGACTATAACAGAGACATAAAACATATTTACTAACATATAGCAGATCTCAAAGTAAAAACATTTAAAACTAGTAGCAGCTTTAGGCATGAAATAAAATGAGCAAGATTGAGAGGAACTATACAATAAGTTTGTAAAAAAGTTATACTAGACAGGCATTCATTAGAAACTAAGCAAGTTACTTTTTACATAAAGATATAATATTGATAAAAGTATTTTTACATATATGTTATAGGATCCAACATTAATTATTAATGTGCCCAATTATGATCCATATACAAAAATGACATCTACAAACAGTAACATCAAATGGCCTGTAGGAAATGTTCCTGCCGGAAGTTCCAACAACAACAACGATCTTCTTGGATATGTAAGTTTTTAAGTTCAATTATGATTATAGCAACAATAGTAAAAATTTATAACCATGTAAAGTCCTCTAAACGATAGATTTTCAATTATGTTTACACAAAGATTATGTGAATGATAATTGCTTTACTTGTAATTTCTGATATTTTATATTTTTGAATAAACCATACTTGATGATTTTCTTACCTAAACCCTCTGCCTTCTTATGGCAACAGATTTTACCCATGGTCTGCACTATTTGTTGTTCAGTCAATACATATTTTGAAGTTGTTCCTGAAAATGATGAATGGTCAAGTCCATATTTGAAGATGGACCAGTCCATTTAATAGGATACTTAGTATGGTAAGTGTTAAAATAACTGTGTGTGATTAAAAATATCACTTAGAACAAATCTAAGTGTTCGTTTTAGTTATTTAGCATAGTAAGGGTTAATCATATATTTACAGGTGTGGCCAAGCGGCAAAGTAGTTTTCCCAGATTTCTTAAAGAATTCAACAAAATATGTATGGCAAGAACTAATAGAGAAGCATCATAGAAACAATCTAACATTTGATGGGCTATGGATTGTAAGAACCTTTTTTCTACGTTTGTTAGGCTCTTTGATAAATATATGTAGTACTGCAAGATTTCTCCCAAAAATAATTGACCTTGTGCACACATAACAGGCATTCTGGATCCTTGATACTTTATTTTGCATCAATTTATGATCTTTATATAATTACTCTGTAGTTTTCCTAAATACATGTAATAGAAGTTTCAGGATTCTTTAATATGAGAACTCTGCTACAAAGTACATGTATGTCTAATTTTCAAGCATTATGACCATTAATGATTCGTTTTTACATTATACCGTATGACACTTTTTGTTGTCTCATTTTTTGATCATTAATGATTTCAATTTTTTTTTCACTATCATATAGCCATTTGTAACTTTTGCATTGTTCCTAATGTTATCATTATATCATTTTTCTGATTTGTGTTTATCATTCATGTTTTCATTTGATACTGCCAAAGTAGTTTGTTTGAACCTAAATGACTAATAAATCCAATGTTAGAGTAATTTTATTGGTGGTTCCTTAATACTGGTATATGTTAGGTAAATTGTTCTTGCCATTATTACGGTAATTAAAACTCAAGAGTGGTATAAAACAAATTACTGAGTTATGAATCATTTTAATCCCTCATTCTAGTATATTAGTAATATAACATTTCCTGTAGGACATGAATGAGCCAGCAAACTTTGGTACTAATGAAGAGAAACCCTGGAACTGGCCAGCTAATGTCAAACCATGGAGTCTGAACTGTTCCCTGTCTGGAAACACATATGAACATCCTCCATATAGAACAAGTAAGTGTAACATTAGGACAAAATTCACTTACCAATGTTTTATGTCAAAGATACTTTACATTTAATTCTAAATGGTGTCACAAAAAGATATTACATGCCCATTTGATTTTTTGTTTCAACTAGATTTCAATCTTTCATGCATGTCTTAAGCCTTAGCCTGCTGGCGGCTTCAGTATCTACCACTGTGACCAGTACAAGCGGAGATTAGATGAATTACATAATTATGTAACATTACACTGGGAGTCTTTTACACTATTACATTAAAGTGGAGTCTTTCTCATTACACTGGGAGTCTTTTACATTATTACATTACAGTAGGAGTCTTCTACATCATCACATTACAATGAGAGTCTTTTACATTATTGCATTACAGTGGTAGTCTTTTACATTATTACATTACAGTTGGAGGATTTTACTTTATTATATTACAGTGGTAGTCTTTTACATTATTACAATACAGATGGAGTCTTTTACATTATTACATTATATTGGGAGTTATTACTATATTACATTACAGTGGGAGGTTTTTACATTTTACAATTTCAGTGGTTTTACATAGTTACAATGCAGATGGAGTCTTTTACATTATTATGTTACAGTGGGAGACTTTTACATTATTACATTACAGTGGGAGTCTTTTACATTATTATAATATAGTGGGAGTCTTTTACATGGTAAAATTACAATGGGAGTCTTTTACATTATTATAATATAGTGGGAGTTATTACATTATAACAATACAGTGGGATTTTTTTTACATTATTACATTACTGTAGGGGCCTCTTATATTATTACATTATAGTGGCACTTATTACATTTTTACAATGCAATAGGAGTTTTACATTATTACATTACAGTGGGAATCTTTTACATTATTGCATTACAGTGGGAGTATTTTACATTGTTACATTTTAGTGAAAGTCTTTTACATTGTTATAATATAGTGGGGGTTATTACATTATTACATTATAGAGGGAGTAATTACATTATTACAATACAGTGGAGGTTTGTATCCATTATTACATTACTGTAGGGGTCTCTTAAATTATTACATTATAGTGGAAGTCTTTTACAATATTACATTACAGTAGGAGTTATTTTTACATTATTACAATACAGTGGCAGCCTTTGCCTATGACCATGAGGGTAAGGAAACAATGATATCTGATAAGACAGTGTGTATGAGGGCTCTACAAGGGGATGGTGGTAAATACAAACATTATGATGTTCATAGTCTGTATGGCTGGAGCCAGACTGAACCTACTCTTGAGTAAGCTTATCTATCAGTTTATTGTTGCTAATAGTTTATTCATGTCCAAATTTAAATTATTTGATAATTTCTCTGAAGTATTTTGGAAATACTATCAAACTTTTCCTATTCCTTGCATTTGATTTGATATTGATAAATATAACTAATGCAACTGTCCGGCATCTGACCTGTTTTGGCAGCAACAATTGAATCTTGATTATCATAGTGATTATACTTATGTATGTCATCTCAGCCACATGGATGACTTAAAGAAGTTATAACATATAATCCACTAGTCATTTTCATAAGATTGTTTGTAATGAATTGTTATGAAAGAAAACAAAATTGTCTTAGGAGTGAGAATGAATCATTTTAATACCTTATGAAATGCAATCTTGAACAATTTTACCAAAAATATAATCTTCTACAGGTGTTAATATAAAATATTTCAGTGGTTTGCGAAAGGCTACAGGAAAGCGAGGTATTGTAATATCTAGGTCAACGTTCCCCAGCAGTGGAAAACATGCAGGTCATTGGCTAGGTGACAATAATAGTGGATGGACAGATCTCCGTCACTCTATTATCGGATCTCTAGAGTTCAACTTATTTGGAATTCCTTATGTATGTGTTTGAAACAATATATTACATTATTATGATGATGTTTGAAATTGTTCAGTGGTTCTACTCAGGTGCCCATATGTGCCTGAAATGATGCACAGATGGGCACCTTAGGTTTTCCTCCACCAATAAAGTGATACTTTCCTCCACCATATGAACTATACAGTGTTAGTGTGACGTAAAACCAAATCAATTACAAACACACAAAAAATTTGTATACTGGTTAATTTATACAGAATTTGTTATATTTTGATTGTGAATTAAGTTATAAGCCTAATATAGACACATTTTGTAATCCGTTTCTGGAAACAACCAATACTGAGCAAATGATTGTAAAGTTTCTTGCTCATGGAAACAACAGCTTGACTCCCCTGACAGGATTTGATCCTTTGACCCTTAGATTACTCAGTCTGATGTGTTAACCACTCTGCTATGCTGCCACACAGATATGCCAGTGACATAGACTTATCATAATTGTTACTGTCTCACTAATTATTGCTGCAGATTGGTGCTGATATATGTGGATTCTTTTCTGACACAACACCTGAACTATGTAAAAGATGGATGCAACTTGGAGCCTTCTATACCTTCAGTAGAAATCACAATGGCCTTGGAAGCAAAGTAAAACTTATTTTGAATCAACTGTGGAAATATAAGTTATAGGTTTAATTATTTAATATTATTGAAGTTTTATTTATTGACATTAAATTTACTAATTTTGACAATATAGTTATATGAGACATTTGTTATTTGTTAAGTCTTTCAATCAAGAAATTTTGATCAGTAATATGAATGTTCATGTATTTTGTATGAAATTGTAGCATGTATGCGAAAATCTGTCACAACATACATTTTCTAGACATAAAATAGTAACTGTACTCAACAGATTTAAAATACAAAAATACCCTACCTTGACAAAATTACGTTTTATTAAAAGTAACAACTGTTAAACTATTGGACATTCATTACTTTCTTTCAGAGACAAGATCCTGGTTCATTAGGTGCAGATGTTGCTGAAGCATCTAGAATTGCCATGGAAACAAGATACTGGTTACTACCCTATCTTTACACATTGTTCCATAAGGCACATACTGAGGGACATACAGTAATGAGACCTCTTCATCATGAGTAAGTTTTCTATAACATTAGTTTAACCCTTATCATGCTAGATGCCTTAAATGGACTTTCCCATCTTTCGATATGGACTAAACTATTCATCAATTTTTAGAGAAAAATTCACAATCTGTACTAACTTTTGAGTAAGGAACAGTTCAGACCATGATCAGACATAGATAACTAGCTTTTGCAATTGGTATTACTATAGTGAATTACTGCATTTCAGCCTACTAATTTCTTAGCTTTTTTACATGATAAATATATAAATAACTGAAGAAAAAAATCAGGAGACTCATCACCTAACAAAATTTATTTCAGGTTCACAGATGATGAAATGACCTTTGACATTGACAAACAGTTTCTGTGGGGACCTTCCTTGATGATTTCTCCTATTCTGTATGAGGTATGCTGTTGTATATTTTGCTGTTGTATATTTTTCTTTCTAATATGAAAATATTTCATAAAATTTTGAGCACACACACAGTGAATTTGGTAGGTAATTTTGGAGAGAAAAAATGCAAATTGAAAGTTATTCTATTATCAAATTCCTTAAATTCAGGGATCTTAATCAAACTGTATTAATGTGCAAGCTGGAATAGTATAGGCAAGTTATAACCATCACTTTCTTGTAAAGGGTAAACTGTATATTTTTTGTATTAGGTAAAATGTATATGTTTGTGTTTCAGGGACAGACATCAATCAGCATGTACATTCCAAGAGGTCCATGGTATGATTTCTACACAGTAAGTATAAATGTTTCTAAATATTTAGCTCAGAAGAATAAATATAGAGTTGATGAAAATGGTTGATTATTGTCAAGATAGTGCTATTTTCCATACCTTAATTATATTTAAAAATATATTACTAGTTAAAGATGGCCCAGCTTTTATGATTGAATTGAACATTTCAGACAACAATATCTTGCATTATCAGACAAGATTTTCTGTTGCTTACACTAGTGCTAGATAGATCGCATGCTTTAAAATGATGTCATTGCAGGGCCTTAAATGAATTGCTTAGGATAATGTCTTTATATGAATAACGTTACCATATAGATTCATTCGGTACTAAAAGAAAAACTCCTCAAAGCCTTGGCAAGTTGGCAACTCACTGTGTCATGATTTGTATATTTTTCTGTTCTTTTCATATTTATACTCATAATGAGATAATTATAGTGATGAAATCATCAATCTCTTGGTATGTTTATTTTTACATTTTTCTGCCATATTAAACATTATTGATATGATGTATATAATTTTTTCAGGGAGAGGAGATGGACACCCAGAATGGCTATGTTACATTACCTGTACAGCCAGACTCCAAGATCCCACTACATGTACGTGCCGGACACATTCTTCCTATGCAGGCTCCTGCTAATAACACTCATTTCAGGTATATATATCTACATTGTAAACATTATTATCAATTGTAAACTATTTCTATTGACAGTTAAAATATTAATATTGAACTCTGGCATGAGAAAACAAACCTTAATGTCATGTAACAAATGACATCAAAAGATTTAATATTGTCTGTGAGGTTAAAAATAAAAAAGTGAACACTTTTGAAATAATAAAACAACAAGTAAATCAAGAGAAGGAGAGAACAAACTTCAAACATCAGGATGGTTTGTAACTGATTTATTCTAGGATCTACCGGATTTGGTCTTTCAAGACCTTCATCAGGATATATTTCAATGATAAATGACTACTGAAGTACTAAAAAAGAGGAAACAGAATGTGACGTATGTTACTATCAATAGATATATAAATGAGTTTTTCTGGGCAAAGTGCCAAGTTGAAATAATAAAGATAAATATGAATAAGTAACAATAACCAATTTCAGAAGATTTTATTTTTTTCAAAAGTAATGGAAATGGATATTTTTAAGAATCAAATACTAGTATGTCAGTAAAATATTATGTGACATTATGGGTTGCTTTGCTCATTTTGTAAGCAAATGTATGTAATACTTCTGATATTGAATTGGTATAATGGAGAAATGAACATTTCAAGATAATAAAAAACAAATTTGCATGTATTTAATTCATATTCTTTATTGAAGGTGAAAACACAAATGTATAGTTTGACATATTCTTAATTACCATGATTTTATTAAATAATGAAATTAATTTTCCGAATTGTCATTCATATAAACATATTATTCTGTTAAATGAGTGGCAATGTAAAGTGTGTGCAGACAGTCTAGATTCCCTACAATTATAGAAATATATTATGGAAATTCCCATATCATAAATTATCAGGGCAAAACAAAAAACAAAACGTTCATATAAAGTCTGCCATGCAAAGGTTTCCTGGTTATCATGACCAATTTATTGATGAGTTCACATCTTCAGAAATCTTATGAGTAAATTCTGTATCGTAACTTGATAATAGACAGTATAAAGTTTCAGGCAAAGAAAAGATGGTCACACAAATATTATAGTTAAAGAGTACCTGTGAATCATTAATTTCACAAATTTTATATTTCAGTCGTAAAAATCCATTTACTCTGCTTGTTGCCCTCAAGGACTCGGAGAATGGAGGTAGAGGTTACACAGCTAAAGGTGATTTGTTTTGGGATGATGGAGTCTCCATTGGTAATTATCTGTACTATCAATATAATAATTATGCCCCTGGGCATATAGTAATTGAACTGTCCGTCTGTCTGTCCATCCGAGCAAACATTTTGGGTTTAGGGGCTATATAACAGTACAGAGAACAAAAGAGAACAATAGGTTCATTCTGTGATCAAAGGGTTTATGGGTTAGAAGGGCTTAAGAAAACAAAGAAAATAGCCCCTAAACCTAAAATGTTGGAACATCCGTCTGTCCGTAGGAGTTTAACCTGGAACGGCAAGTTGGATTTTTCTTAAGTTCTACCTGTACCAATGGCTTCATAATTTAGACACTTACTAATCCATACAAAGTATATGATTTGGGCAAGTCATATAACTATGGCTTCCATTTGCACCAAGTTATAGCTCTTTTCAGTACTTAGAAAATGAATAATGGTTAACCTAAACCGGCAAGTTGGAAATATCTTATGTTCTATCTGAACAAATGGCTGAATAATTTTCACACTTACTTATCAATACAATGTTCATGATATTGCCAAGTTACATAAATGTGCCATCCATTTTCCCAGTAATTTCCCTTTTTATCACTTTGAAAATAGGGCCTTGTATGGTTAACCTATTCCACCAAGTTGGATTTATAAAAAAATTTCACCTAATTACTTAATTTATTTAATGATATCTTTCATATTTGGTAGGTGGATACCTTTAGCGGTCCTCTAATTTTTTTGTGATGTTAGGCGTCTCTAGGTCAAGGTCAAGGTCACTTGTGTAAAATAATAAATCTAAACATTTCTGCTCATACAGCCTTTATTTTTAAGTTAATGTCTTTGATGTTTATAATTGTCATACCAAGGGAGGTCCTCTTCCTTTCCCTTTAGTAACTGGTCATTTGGGTCAAGGTCACCAATGTCAAAAATAGATTTTTTACACTTTTACAGATGTATTAACCTTATTCTATCGACAGATGTCTTGTATATTTTGTAGGAACATAAAATTGAGGTATTCTCATTTGGATGGAGGTAGGGGTCAGTTGGGTCAAGGTCACCAGTGCTAAAAATAGATTTTTACACTTTTTACTCATACAGCCTTTATTTATTGACAGATTTGTATTATAATTGGTAGGAAGACAACTTACATGGTATTCTTCCTTTGGATGGAGTTAGAGGTCAGTTGGGTCAAGGTCAACAGTGCTAAAAATAGATTTTTACACTTTTGCCCATACAGTCTTTATATGATTTATATGAGAAATTGTTACAAAAATATACAAAGTATATACAGCAATATTTTATAAAAAAAATTCAGGCCTTGTGAACTTCTTATACATGTAGCTGATTTAGCCAACTTTCTTCTAAATCGATAAATATCAAACAATTTACATTTACTGCTTTTCAGATACATATGAAAATAAGAATTACTTTTATGCTAGATTCAGCAGTGGACATGTAAGTTCTCGTTTGGAAAAATTATTCCAGCACATTTCTATCAATTTATAGACTTTCTTTCACACTGGAAGGAAATTGCAATAACAATTCAATAAAGTACATAAATACAGAGAATAGTTAAATGATGTTAAACAATGTTAAGGTATTGAATAGCAGGGTAAGAATAAAGTGCAGCTTGTCAGGGACTCGAACCTGGGACCCTTGGAATACTGTTCCATGGCTCTACTGTCTGAGCAGTTTAGTCACCTACGCATGGACTCCCTTAATAAGTGAACAGTTCAGTTCTTTACCATGACATACTTCTTAGCTCTGCTGAAATTTGTCTTCAAATTTGTTATGGGTACAGAGAAAAATGTGAAGTGAGCTGTAAACTGTCTCAGCCCTGCATTTGGCACCGTATGTCACAGAATGAGAGCAATAAATGTGCAGGCTGATGCATACATGTACTTGAACCTGGGACCTCAGATTACTGTTCTTTGGCTGTACCAATGAGCTCAAAATCCGACTGCTTAGAAAAATGGAATAAACACTGACAAGCCATTTTGATATTAAATGAGAGATGTTTAAAGAAAGAGGAAATGGTTATATAACATTATAAACAAACAATACTACATGTATGTGATCATATAACTGTTTTATATCATTTTATTACATGAATGTTTGATACAGTCTGCAGCTTTTTGATATTATTATGTATAGGACACATTAAGTCTGACAGTGGAACATGATGATCCAAGTTCAACAATAAATGGACTGTTTATAGATACAGTTAAAGTGTATGGTGTGAGAAGTAAACCTAAATTTGTGTATATAGGAGACACAGTCCATACACAGCTCAACTATGATGAAAATACAAAGGTTTTATAATTTTATTACTCTGTTACAGTATAGACTTTACAGTTTTATTTGAACATATGCTGTATGTTTATTTAAACTACATCAGTATTCTGCTGTTTTGAAATTCTCTAATTTGAGCTATTTTTGGACATGGAAATTCTATTCTTCCATGACAAATTCAGCACTCAGTCAGTGCCATTAGCAGTTTTAGCCATTTGATATATTATTATAATTTGGCTACCAAACATTATAATTTGACAATAACACTTTTTGCCTGTTTTCTGTATTTTTTGTTGTTTTTTTCTGACATTTGTATGAAATCAGAATATTACATCAATAATATGATTATGACTAATTAAAATTTTCAACAAGGGTGTTACAATTTGACAACAAGGTTTTTTCCCCATGTTCTGTTTTTGTTTATTTTTTTTTTCAACATTTAGGTAGTATGAAATCAGAAAGTATGTCCTGCAAAGCCTTAAATTTGATATGATATTCTGATATTGATTTGTCTGATGTAAAATCCTAACAAACAGTGTATAATTTGCTATTAAAGGTACTAGAAATTACCAACTTGATGTTACATATGAACCAGGATTTCATGTTAGAATGGAGGTATGTATGAAAATTAATTATAATTATATCATCATAATAATTTATTTCAGTATATAAATACATGGCATTTCATGGTACAAAACAATAAATTAATTATGAAATGATGTCTACCTAGTACAGGTAACCGGAGAAAACTTGCACATGATTTTATAGAACTTCTTGGGACAATTGCCTGTAGTGTGAGCACAGTGACCTGATATTACTCATACAGAAGTCAAACTTATAAAATGATTATCTTTTCAAGGTGGATGGTCCTAATATTTTTTTTTTGGGGGGGGGGGGGGGGGGCTTAGATCAAGTTCTAGGTCACTGTGACATTCCAATGAAAAGAAGTTTGACATATGAACACATCTGCCGATGTTTCAAAAATTTTTTCAAAATTTTACCAGTTCATGTATAAGTACCTAATCTCACACCCAACTTATTCTCAAACCCTTCATTCATGTGCTGTTATTTTTTTACTAGAAGTGACTATAATGTCCTGAACATGTGTGCATAAAAGCTTAGTTTCTGACAGACATATGTGCTGATGTCAAATGAAAACAGTGCATAGGAACAAATATTTACATAACATAGTTTATTACTTAGCGTAATTTCATACAAATTGCTATTACCTTTGTAAGTCCCATAAATACACCATTAACTATTTGTGAAAATGAATATTATAGACAAAAATAACTTAAAGCAGGTACCTGCATCGTGTAGGGTACTTAATTGTCATTTGATAGTCATATAACAATCACTTCATTGGCTAAACTAAACAGTAGAATTTTAGAGATACTTGAAGGGGTTTGAGATTAGGTTCTTTATTTTAAGAGGTCATGTCAGTTTTAAAACAGAGGGTTGTGCTTTTCCAAAACGGAATAGAGCTTTTTTAATTGTTGAAATTCAGTCAAAGTTTACAGAAATGTTACATAAAGATTAAAAAGTGTACATATGTAACAATTTTTATAAAGATATATTTTATTTACACTAAAAGACCTCTTGAATGCTTAGGGGTTTGAGAACTGGTTAGTCCACGATAAATGTTGAATACCGCTTAAGATTGTGCCAAGTGGCATGGACAGTAGCATGCACTTTCCAGTATTGTCCATGAACTAGCTCAATGAAATTGAGCCTGCAACATTTCAATTTTGCTGTGTTTGGCTTTCTTTAGGGATTCTGATTTTTTTTATATGCCAAGGTGTAATTTATAGAATGATCAGGAAGTGTCAGTAGATGATAGCTAGGGACAAATGTTGATCAAGCCCTGTTTGTGTGTACATGATAACTTTATAGTTCAACTATTTTGTCCTTTACTACATCTGACATCCTGTTTCCAGGTAACAGGTAATGATTATATTTCAAAAATAGGGCACTATACCACTGACTGTCTTTCATTGATTGAATTTGGCTGTAGATTTGAATTGTTCAAAATGTTTATTTATAGATAGATTTATCTCAGTTTATGACTAAGACATCAGAACATTACTAAAGTGTGTCTGTGTGTTTTCTGTTTCCCTTTTTGTACAAAAAAATTTTTGCTGTTTTTTCTGCTTAATAAAAAAAAATTTTTATTTTAGGAGTTACGTTTGACCCAAATGAGAATGAGATGAAAGTTCAAAATGTTTCCCGACAAAAAATCAAATATAAATGCAGTTGAATGTAGTAGCAGGTCCTGTATATATGATGGAACACATGATCTACCCTATTTTGTGCCTAAATGCTACATGAATAGGTAGGTATATATTAACATGAACATTGAATTAAGATTTCATTTCATAGTAAAGCTGTTTTAAAAAACATAAGACCATATATGTACATGTACTAGGGAAAACCTCATTAGAACAGAGACAACATACATGTATATTGTTATGATATCAAGATTAGATAACTCTTTACATGTTTAGTTGTATAGTTAATGGGATTACTTCCCTTTACTTGATATTCATTAATGCTATGTTATATATATGATCATGCCTCTCTGATACCTGAGTCATTCTCACTTGAGCTCTGGTCTTAACAACATGTATTAAATGGTTATAATAAATTGTAGAATAGTTTGAATCTTGTCATCATCCATACAACATAACATATATTAAATATGGATTTTGATAAATCTCACTGTCTAGTACCATCAAATACTTTAGCTAAAGTATTTGATGGTACTAGACAGTGAGATTTATCAAAATCCATATTTAATAAGGTCAAAACAATGATCATCATGGGCCTTCAAAGGTGCATTGGCCTTGGCCAATAGATGACCCTATTGATTTTGGTATCAAGCGGTGAAAGGTCAATGTCGCATTCACAGTGTCAACAACCCATGGGCTCTTTCCCCTTAAACTTCACTAGTACATTGGTCTTGGGTAGTAGATGACCCAATTGATTTTAGGGTCAAGGGCATATTCACCTTGTATTTAAAACAGTTTTCAACCAATCACACAGCCTTTAAAATCCATAGGTGCAGTGATCTAGGCTGGTAGATGAGCCCTATTGTTTTTGAGGTTGCGGGTCAGATGTCAAGGTCACATTGACCCTATATGTCAAAATGGTTTCTGAAACTAGCGGGCCGTTGGCCCTCAAACTTTACAGAAGCAATTGTCTTGAGCACTTCATGACCCCTTTTGATTTTTGGTTTGAGGGCTCAAAGGTCATATTGATCTTGTATGCCACAATGTTTTCCAATCAGTAACACTCATTGGCTGACATTGGGTGGCATACATGTTTTATAAACATATCTTGTTTAGTAAGGTACATTGTGTATTTATTTAATTAAATTCTTAATTTATTTTATTGGTTTTGAAGTTTATTAAATGATGATTGCAATTTATTGTGTATAATTATATAGGACAGCACATGGCTATGTAAGAGAAGTAACCCCTGTTACAGTCAAGGATGATTTTAGACTATCTTTGAAAATGAACAAAAAACTCACAAATCCAACACTGTTTGGCAATGATAAAATAAACCTAAGAGTGCATATTGAAAAGAATTCAAACAATATTTTACATGTGAAGGTAAGTCTCTTAGTAATATATATATGTAACAGATATTTATTATGCCCCTGCCATAAAATGGCTGGGGCATATAGTGTTAGCCCGTTTTGTCATTTCGTCCTTCCATTATTATCAGTTTCTGTTCATTATCTTGGTAACGGTTGCACACATTCATACGGTGGCATAAAGGTGACATGTGTGTGCTTTTATTTATCTTGTGGTCACGAGATACTATGTCGTGGCCACGAGTTACTAAGTCGTGGCCACGAGATAGCTAACTCGTGGCCACGAGATACTATGTCGTGGCCACGAGTTACTAAGTCGTGGCCACGAGTTAGCTATCTCGTGGCCACGAGATACTATGTCGTGGCCACGAGTTAGTAAGTCGTGGCCACGAGATAGCTAAGTCGTGGGCACGAGATAATTAACCAATCAGAATACACTAAATATATTATGAATCTTTTAAACTTAACAACTTACTTTTACATGCAACATTAATCTTTGAAAATACTGAAGATATTCACTTTGAACTTGTCTTTATGGTCATATTAGAAAGTCACCTTCCAAGGCCCATCAGACATTAATTTGGACTTTAGCTCTTTGTTGGGACAATTGTGTGATCGAATTGGTCAGTTTGTACGTACTACGGCCTGTAAACCTTGTTTATACGATAACATGAGAAGGAATAGGTCCTGGTTTATTTTATTTGTAAGGGACATTGCCCATGGACAGTAGATAGCCTATAAGGTAAAACCCATGTCTGATGAATAATTTAGAAAGGATAAGCCATGGTTTATATAACCAAGAAAGATCATTGCACCTGATCAGTAGATGACATCTAATAATTTCGAGGTCATTGGGTCAAAAATCAGGGTCACAGTGACGCTAAATGAGTCAATAAGTTGCATAAATGACACTTTTACAGGCTGGTAAAGTAGGGGCATCCTTGTACTATAGCACATGTCTAGTTAATTAGAGACATTCACATAAATGGTGTAATCTGATTGGTTATTTATCTCGTGGCCACGACTTAGCTATCTCGTGGCCACGACTTAGTAACTCGTGGCCACGACATAGTATCTTGTGGCCACGACTTAGCTATCTCGTGGCCACGACTTAGTAACTCGTGGCCACGACATAGTATCTCGTGGCCACGAGTTAGCTATCTCGTGGCCACGACTTAGTAACTCGTGGCCACGACACAGTATCTCGTGGCCACGAGTTAGCTATCTTGTGGCCACGACTTAGTAACTCGTGGCCACGACTTAGTAACTCGTGGCCAGGACATAGTATCTCGTGGCCACGAGATGAATAAAAACACACATATGTCACCTTTGTGCCATCGTACATTCAACTCAAATTTGACATATGCATATATCATAGGAAAATGCAGGTCAAGTTCGAATTTGGTTATGGTCTGATGATTTTTGGCAGAGTTATGCCTCTTGATGAAATTTGGAGTTTCTGTAGTACACATTCAACTCAAATTTAATATATGGATATAACATAGGAATACACAGGTCAAGTTCCAATTTGGTCATGGTTTGATGATTTCTGACAGTTTTTTCCCTCATGACCTTTGAAAAAAATAAGAAATTTTCAGTTTCCACACTCTTACTTTTGTGGAAATGTATGTAGTCATTATCTAGGCTAGAAATATGCAATATGCAATTTGCAAAAGGTCAACACTAAATACTTTCATGGTCTTGAATTTTGTATAAAAATGGTTTGTGTTAACATTGAATAGTTTAAGGGCTTTGAACTTAGAATGAAAATAATTTGTGCAAACATATTTGGAATTAAATATTATTATATCATGTGAAATTTTGGCTGCATACGGGGGCATCCCTGGCATGACAACACATTTCTAGTTTTTTGATAAAATGATATTTGAATAGATCTTTTTTGTATCAGAATGGTTTAAGCAGATTTTAATTTTACCCTTACACTGCTGGAACCAGTTATGACAAACCTGTGCCACCAGTATAGAGCCAGGCCAGCCTGCACATCTATGCAGTCAACCCCGGCTCTACACATTTAGCTGACCAACTTAAAATGTAATAATTTCATTTTGTTACCCGACCCCAAAACTGATTATGGACATAATAGAAGCAGGACAAGTCAATTTAAGAAATTTAACAGGTTAGGGATTCCCGTGCAGTGACTAACATTTGTCTTATACATGTAAATGTTGGTTTATCTAGATTTCTTTTAATTGCTTAACCCATTACTTCATGAGAATTTTGTGAAAAATGGCTGTTTTCATTGAAAAGTCTCCCGTTACAAGTTCAAATTGCTATAATACTATAAAAACTGCTTCAACACTAATCAAACTTGGCACAAATGTTGACTGGACCATTGCCCTTGCAACAACATGCTCAGGCTTAAATTTTCTGTTACCATGGCAACGAGGGGACTTCTCAAAATTGCCAAAAATCACTATTTTGCGTTGATTTTTTCCATTTTAATTGATTTCAAAGTGCTGCAACTTCTCAATGGATTGAGATAGAGTCAAATGCTTTTCAGCGTTGGTTACACGTTACCTTATGATCAATCTGGGGTCATTTATAGCCTCTCACAAGTCCAAAATTTTCTTGGCGATGAGGGGGACTCCGCCCGCCTTCAAACCCCCCAAACAGAAGGGGGCACATCCCCCTTCTGGCAACCCCCTGATGAATCTTTTGGTTGGGGGGCCGCGCCCAAAAAGTGGTCACTTTTTTTAACAACATTTCTCAAACAAAAACAAGTGTTAAGGGCCTAAATAATGCATTTTTTCACCATTTGAGACAACAAAAAGGGGGGGGTGAAAAAGGCGTTAAATGGCGTGTATATGAAGTAATGGGTTAACAGAAAATGATGAAAATACTTGAAATTACTCTAAATCGCGTTTTTCCATGTTTAAACATGGCCTGTCATATAAATTTGAAGAAAAATTGTTGTTTTGTATATTTTTTTATTTTTTTCATTAACCCATTACTTCATGAGCATTTTGTGAAAAATGGCTGTTTTCATTGAAAAGTCTCCCGTTACAAGTTCAAATTGCTATAATACTATAAAAACTGCTTCAACACTAATCAAACTTGGCACAAATGTTGACTGGACCATTGCCCTTGCAACAACATGCTCAGGCTTTAATTTTCTGTTACCATGGCAACGAGGGGACTTCTCAAAATTGCCAAAAATCACTATTTTGCGTTGATTTTTTCCATTATACCGTATAAGTACTTATTTCTGCGGGCTTAAAATTCTGCGATTTTGGTTAAAATAAGGGGTTTTAAATTTCTGCGTATCTTTTTTCTGCGGTGTCATCATTCTCGCATTGATGTTTTTTATTTCTGCGTTTTAATTTAGATATTTTTACAAAATTAACCGATACAAACAGACATCATTTCAAGATATGTTGATGTAACATGTACATTACTTCCGGTAAAAATGCAGACGACTTATAATGTGTGTTCATCGTGATCACCTTGTATCGGTATATAAAATATGATAAACAAGATCAACAAGGAAAGGCGGCGTTCAATGAACGCAATAAACAAAAGGTTAATAAACAAAAATCAACAACGTGCAATGACAACAATTACAGTCGAGACTGTCATATGTGACTTTCCATGGGATCTTCAGAAAAAGGTCGCATATGACAGGGAGTCTCTAAATACAGTCTCAAAGAAAATTAAATTTAAATATCATCTATCTGTCTATATACCAATGTGACTTACAGATCCTGTATGTTTTGTGATTGATATTGTTACTGTGTTTACGTATCTTGCAAACAAATATATATGGATATAATTATGCAAATAAAACAATTTTCAAACATCAAAGAATATGTAAAATGTGTACTGCAAATATTTGTTCACATTATATTTAATCAATAAATTACATGCATTGATTTCTTATTGGAAAATTTGACTTAGAATTTATAGAAAATAAAGTTCTAATTACCTCCCTTTAATGGCCTTTATTTACATGAAATGTTAAATTGGGTGTTATCTTTATAAATAATGCTTATTTGAACTTACAATATTGACAAATCTTAATTTGAGCATCATATTTATGAAATAAAACCATGAAAAAATTGTGTTACAGGATCTTTAAACAATTGTCCATATCCAAAACTTTTTCTGGTTCGGTATCAATATTTTTTCCGTATTAATGATGCAGCCATAGAAAGGTAAATTAAAAAAATGCTGCCTAAAAAATCTTCTGTGGGCACTCTATAATTAAAAGAAAATCTAACACAAGTACTCAGGCCATTTTGTACATTACACACACATCGATTGCATAATGCTTTCCATGAACAGACGCTACGTCACTTGGTCACTTGGTACCGGTATATACACGCTAATTGTGTAATTGAGATAGAGGTGTGTAGACTTTGTTTGCTACAGTGCTGGATTATAATTGGACTTAATTATTTTGGCCCTCTGGGTGTTAAAATAGGTATTCTTTATCTGATTAACGGATAATTAAAAGGTGTGAAAGTCGTTTAAATCAGACAAAACATTGCATTGGGACCAGACAATTAAGGTCGCTTGTCACATATGACAGGGAGTCGTTTAATTCAGACCATTTATATAGGAAAATACGTTGGGAGTACTGAAACAAGGTCGGATAAGACAGGGAGTCGTTTAAACCAGGGGGTCGCTAAGGCAGTCTCGACTGTAATTGTGATACTGCATGTGTATAAATATGTCAAAAGTGTGAAAAATAAACAATGGTAAAATCGCACGTAGACACAATATATTGTACATATACAAAAGGGTATGTTTATTGCACCCGTCATACTATAATAGTTTTATTTTTAAAATAAATCAAGCTAAGGGTGAGCGAAAATCATACAAACATGACATTTTTTTAAACAAAAAGAACAAGTAAAGTAACTTTTTTTTCTAATATTTCATTCATGACGGGTACATAAAGAAAAATTATTCCCATCTACAAAAGCTGATAACGGTACATGGTAATGTAATTATACAATACAGGTAGTTGACATATTCCGACATACATGTAGACATGCGAAAGGCTTAATTTTCTGCGGTTTTTAAATCTGCGGTGTCGTTATAAACCGCAGAAATAGCAGAAATAAAGTTCCCGCAGAAAAAAGTACTTATACGGTAATTGATTTCAAAGTGCTGCAACTTCTCAATGGATTGAGATAGAGTCAAATGCTTTTCAGCGTTGGTTACACGTTACCTTATGATCAATCTGGGGTCATTTATAGCCTCTCACAAGTACAAAATTTTCTTGGCGATGAGGGGGACTCCGCCCGCCTTCAAACCCCCCAAACAGAAGGGGGCACATCCCCCTTCTGGCAACCCCCTGATGAATCTTTTGGTTGGGGGGCCGCGCCGAAAAAGTGGTCACTTTTTTTAACAACATTTCTCAAACAAAAACAAGTGTTAAGGGCCTAAATAATGCATTTTTCACCATTTGAGACAACAAAAAGGGGGGGGGGGGTGAAAAAGGCGTTAAAAGGCGTGTATATGAAGTAATGGGTTAATCATTACATGGGTTTTGTCAAATAAATGAAGAAAATCTCCTATGTGATGCAGTGTGTTCACTATATCTACTGTTTACCAGTATTTGGATGTGCACCTGTTTTCTAAACAAGCTAATGATATTGACATGATGTGCACTTATCATCCCATACAAAATAAGCAAGCAATCTATAGGCTTACTTTATATATCTACTGTTAGGAAAAGGCGTAAAATGAAACAAACAAACAAACAAACAAACTTTATATATCTGTTTATTACATACTTATAAATGAAATATTGAAAAATGATGAAATAAAATGCTTGTTTTTATTCTGTTTTCTTTTTCCACTGCATTGAAACTTTTCAATGATGTTTTGCCGGACTACTTTCTTCTAAATTTAGTCAATACACAAATTAAAGGGAAAGTCTTTCAAATTCTTGTGTCATAAAAGAGACAAATGTATATAATTTACATAAAATTAAAGTTTTTTTTCTATAAATACAGGATTTATCTTCATCTTGTGGTATGAAAAGTATCATATTTCAATCGTGGTTGTCACCACTCATGAAATATTTATTTTCATACCACTAGATGAAATAAATCCTGTATTTATAGAAAAAAAATTAAATATCCTCTATTTATATTTGAATATAAATGTATTTACCAGATTCTACAGAACGTCTGATTCTAATGTTTTTGTGTTCATGGTATTTACAGATCACAGACTGGGATCATGAGAGATATGAGGCTCCAGTGGAGTTAAATCTTCCACATGAGAAGTACAACAACCAGTCTTTATATGATATTCAGTATTCTAACGAAAGAGATGAATTCTTTGTAAAAGTTATACGAAAAGATACCAATACTGTAATGTAAGTAGACATTTCCTAGTTATCATAGCACACAGTGGTTACATTATTCCTTAGTCACTTGCTCCATGCTGTTGTTGATTCAGATACTTGAATGTTCATAGCACTGAAATATGCCATGAAAGAAAAATATCCATCTGGCTCACAGAATGTTTGTGGTTCTTCCTAGATATGAACCTATTCCATGTTAACATGTTATAGCTAATAAAAACTTTATTAACTTAACTGTAACTACTTTAACTATAAACAGATACAATGTGATTTCTTTTTATAAAAAACATCTTGTTTATGTATAATATACATTTTAAACAAAACAAAAAGAAAATCCTAAATACATTGATAAACAAAAATGTCTTTCAGTTTAAAAAAAAAGAAGGGATACTGACAGACCTTCTTGCCTTTACTGGCAGATGCTCATTTTAACATTTTGATAATGAAATTCTTGAAAAAAATCAACCATAGATAAAACAAGACATAAGTTAGGAACAAAAGGAGGGCATTGCAGAAAATATGCAGACAGATGGCTACTAAGTATGCTAAATAAATGACAAATTTATATTCAGGTGGGACACGTCAGCAGGGCCTCTCATAATAAATGACAAATTTATATTTCAGTTGGGACACATCAGCAGGGCCTCTCATAATAAATGACAAATTTATATTTCAGTTGGGACACATCAGCAGGGCCTCTCATAATAAATGACAAATTTATATTTCAGTTGGGACACATCAGCAGGGCCTCTCATAATAAATGACAAATTTATATTTCAGTTGGGACACATCAGCAGGGCCTCTCATCTTTTCAGAGCAGTATCTTCAGATTTCCTCCAAACTTCCATCAAAGAATTTCTATGGTCTTGGTGAGCATCGACATTTCCACTTGAAACATGATCTTGATTATAGAACCTGGCCAATCTTTACCAGGGATGCTGCTGTTAACTCCCCTGTAAGTATACCTGTATGGAATATGATATAAAATTATATTTTACATAATTTTGTACATGTACCATGCATTTTTTGCCTCTTTACAATTTCACTTAAAATCATATTTAAGCATAAGTTTGGCCATTTGGAAATCTTCTTGTCTCTTATGACAGTGTTTATATATATTTTAATGTATCACATACCCGTGCCAATTTTTCGACACTGTAATAATGGTATTGCATGGCTGTGCATATATGTTGTATATATTTTGTGTTATACAAAGATAGTTCAAAGACGTGCTGAATGTCAAAGAAAAATTATTCTTTTGTTCTTTAAACATTCTTTATTTTGGTGATGTGATAAATAGTATATTAAATTTGTATAGATTTATTACTGAATTAATTAAACTTGTTAAAAAAAACAAAACAAAAAAAACAACATTTTGCTCACCAGAGGCTGGCATTATATAACTTTATACAACTTGTTCAATAAATTCAGTATTGAACCTGCACTCATTCAATATCCTCTATGATTTGTATGACAGTTCTTGTTGTTCTTCAAAGTGCCTTAATGTGACTTAATTGAGCACTTAATGCCTGTCATTGTCTGATGTCTGGCAACTTTTTCTTTTTCATTTTAATTGCAAAAAGTCTTTAAGTAATGTCTTTAATTAACAAACAAAAATCCAAAATGAGTTGCAATTGAAAAATCTAGGGTTATATAATAAAACTTTGTTTAAATTTAAAGATACGAATCCAAGATCAGCACTTTGACAAAATGCAGTCCTTAATAAATGTAGGTAGACATTTAAAAGTTCTTTCAAGATACAAAAATTGCAGGTCAAATCATTGTCACTCTAGAGGTCACAAACATCGGATATTAGTCAGCAAAAGATTATATTTGTAATTTTTATGCCCCTACAAAGTGGGAGCATATAGCGTTGCACTTGTCCGTCCGTCTGTCGGTCCATCCATAAGTCTGTCCGCACTCACAGGAGAGTAATTATGTGGCTAGAGGGACAATATGTAACTGTTCTTTCTGTTTGATGTTATTCATTCCGTAATGCTTTAATGTGGCTATTTTCTTTTGTGTGGCTAAAAAGAACAATAGAGAGAACAATAAAGTAGCCACATAATTACTCTCCTGTTAGAACATCCGTCCGTCTGTCCGTACGTCCTGAAATCTTGTGAACGCAACTCCTCTTAAACGGGATGGCAGATTTTGCTTAAACTTCCAGGGATGAACAACCTTAATGTGTAAATGGTAGTAATGGAAGGAATTTTTGCTGCGACCAAATTTAACAGAATTATGGCCCTTTGTTGATTTTTTCACTATATACTATGTAGAAATTTTGTGAACGCAACTCCTCTTAAACCGGATGGCAGATTTTGCTTAAACTTCCAGGATGATCAACCTTAATGTGTAGATGGTAGTTAAGGAAGGAATTTTTGCTGCGACCAAATTTAACAGAATTATGGCCCTTTGTTGATTTTTTCACTATATACCATATAGAAATTTTGTGAACGCAACTCCTCTTAAACCGGATGGCAGATTTTGCTTAAACTTCCAGGGATGAACAACATTAATGTGTAAATGGTAGTAAAGGAAGGAATTTTTGTTGCGACCAAATTTAACAGAATTATGGCCCTTTGTTGATTTTTCACTATATACCATATAGAAATTTTGTGAACGCAACTCCTCTTAAACCGGATGGCAGATTTTGCTTAAAACTTCCAGGGATGAACAACCTTAATGTGTAAATGGTAGTAAAGGAAGAAATTTTTGCTGCAACCAAATTTAACAGAATTATGGCCCTTTGTTGATTTTTTCACTATATACTATGTAGAAATTTTGTGAACGCAACTCCTCTTAAACCTGATGGCAGATTTTGCTTTAAACTTCCAGGGATGATCAACCTTAATGTGTAGATGGTAGTAAAGGAAGGAATTTTTGCTGCGACCAAATTTAACAGAATTATGGCCCTTTGTTGATTTTTTCACTATATACTATGTAGAAATTTTGTGAACGCAACTCCTCTTAAACCGGATGGCAGATTTTGCTTAAACTTCCAGGGATGAACAACCTTAATGTGTAAATGGTAGTAAAGGAAGGAATTTTTGCTGCGACCAAATTTAACAGAATTATGGCCCTTTGTTGATTTTTTCACTATATACTATGTAGAAATTTTGTGAACGCAACTCCTCTTAAACCGGATGGCAGATTTTGCTTAAACTTCCAGGGATGAACAACCTTAATGTGTAAATGGTAGTAAAGGAAGGAATTTTTGCTGCGACCAAATTTAACAGAATTATGGCCCTTTGTTGATTTTTTCACTATATACCATATAGAAATTTTGTGAACGCAACTCCTCTTAAACCGGATGGCAGATTTTGCTTAAACTTCCAGGGATGAACAACCTTAATGTGTAAATGGTAGTAAAGGAAGGAATTTTTGTTGCGACCAAATTTAACAGAATTATGGCCCTTTGTTGATTTTTCACTATATACCATATAGAAATTTTGTGAACGCAACTCCTCTTAAACCGGATGGCAGATTTTGCTTAAAACTTCCAGGGATGAACAACCTTAATGTGTAAATGGTAGTAAAGGAAGAAATTTTTGCTGCAACCAAATTTAACAGAATTATGGCCCTTTGTTGATTTTTTCACTATATACTATGTAGAAATTTTGTGAACGCAACTCCTCTTAAACCTGATGGCAGATTTTGCTTTAAACTTCCAGGGATGATCAACCTTAATGTGTAGATGGTAGTAAAGGAAGGAATTTTTGCTGCGACCAAATTTAACAGAATTATGGCCCTTTGTTGATTTTTTCACTATATACTATGTAGAAATTTTGTGAACGCAACTCCTCTTAAACCGGATGGCAGATTTTGCTTAAACTTCCAGGGATGAACAACCTTAATGTGTAAATGGTAGTGAAGGAAGGAATTTTTGTTGCGACCAAATTTAACAGAATTATGGCGCTTTGTTGATTTTTCACTATATACCATATAGAAATTTTGTGAACGCAACTTCTCTTAAACCAGATGGCAGATTTTGCTTAAACTTCCAGGGATGAACAACCTTAATGTGTAGATGGTAGTTAAGGAAGGAATTTTTGTTGCGACCAAATTTAACAGAATTATGGCCCTTTGTTGATTTTTTCACTATATACTATGTAGAAATTTTGTGAACGCAACTCCTCTTAAACCAGATGGCAGATTATGCTTTAACTTCAAGGGATGAACAACTTTAATGTGTAGATGGTAGTAAAGGAAGGAATTTTTGCTGCAACCAAATTTAACAGAATTATAGCCCTTTGTTGATTTTTTCACTATATACCATATATAAGTTGTCAGTGGGACATCCGTGTCCTTTGGACACAGTTCTAGTTATTGTATTATTTTAATGCATGTTTGTTTATATTTCAGGATTATTCCAATCTGTATGGAGCACATCCATTTTACATGAATTTAGAAGATGATAAAGGCAATGCCCATGCTGTGCTTCTACTGAACACCAATGCTATGGGTAAGATTAAATGTATATTGTCCATTTGTTCCAATAGTAGAATCTAATGAGCTTCTTTAATTTTAATCCTAGCAAGATACATTAACCTTTTCATGTTTTGATAGCTTAATTGTCAAATTTCAAAGCTAAAAAAGTGAAGAAATTACAATTATAATAATGTGTATATAATATCTTTCTACGTTAGCATGTCTATATAAAACAAGTATGCTGATAATTAATTTCTTATCAGTAACTTCAGGCATTATTAAAAAAATAAATAAAAATGATATTTTCCCTTCATACAGTTAAACCTGCAGAAGATATTCAGCTTATGAAAATGCATCATATTTCACAAATGTTCATGTCTTCAACTTCACAGTGCAGATTATGCAGACTTCACAAGTGTGAAGGTCTTTAGTAGATATGCAGACTTCACAAGTGTGCATCGTCTTGAGCAGATACTTAGACTTCACAAGTGTGTATGTCTTGAGCAGATATGCAGACTTCACAAGTGTGCATTGTCTTGAGCAGATACTAAGACTTCACAAGTGTGCATGTCTTGAGTTCACAAGTGTGCAGAAAACTTTCATGTACAGTACAGTGCAAAATACATATTAACAATGATGTAGGTTCTATTTAGGTGCCAACACATGCCTAGAGTACTGTTCAGTAGTGACATCTGAGGTCTTCCTTAACCAGTAAAGCTAAAAATACACCATATAACCTTCATAGTTTTGGTGTGACAAAACAAAAGATGAAATTTGTGATTGTCATCTATATTCTTAAGCTTTATTTATCTCTAATAGTAGAAATGGACCTTAAGCTACCTATGTGAGTAAAATGGCAAACATGATCATTTATTTCAGAGGTGGTGTTAGAACCAATGCCTAGAGTTACATATAGAACAATAGGAGGTATCTTAGATTTCTACATTTTCCTAGGACAGAGCCCAGAGGAAGTTATTCAACAATATACATCTGTAACTATATATTGTATTATTGTTTATAAGTCCTGTATCATATTTACCAGAATTTAAAACAAAAATTGTGTGTTGGTTGCTAATATTGTCACCTTGTTCTTTATTTCAATATTGTAGTATTTTCCTGGGCCTTCTGAACTATTGATGTTGATTGAATTTCATTTACTTTTTAAGATTGAATTTTCTTAACCCAAAGCAAACAAGCAATACAAAGTGTTGTATAATTCGTTGTCCCTAATAAACAGCCAGTATTAATGTCTTGGCCATTTTCATATAACATTTTGTTTCTGTAATTGCTCTTAAGTCATAATTATTCATGTTTCAGACTACTACAGGTACTATATAATTCATACAGAATTTATTGTAGTGCATGTATGTCATATTTAAAGTGTTTTTTTTTCTATTCCTACAATAGTAGCATTAAAAAATGTGTTTTGTAATTATAAAATGACTTACTTTTAAATTTCTGGTGTATGACTATATATATTATTTTTTACATTATTATATATGTTTACTATCTTACAATATAACCAACTTATGTCTTAATGTTTGTATTACAGGTAATAGGTCACCCTGTAATGGTACCATATTGGTCGCTGGGATTCCAGCTATGTAGATGGGGTTATGACAGTCTAGATAATATGAAAGCTGCTGTAGACAGGACAAGGGCTGCCCAAATACCTCATGTAAGTTTTGTTCTGTATTCTGTATTGACATGGTAGTCAGACTGCTTGAACCTTCTGAAAGTAAGTGAATCTGTCTACACTACCTGTATAGTCACAACAGTCGGCTTTATCCATTCAGCCTGAACATGTTCTGTACTGTTATTTTCTCAATTTTATTACTTTGATATTTGCACACTTTAAACTCTCAGTGGACAAGTCCATTTTACAAATTCCATATGATAATTGTTAATCATAAATAAACAGATACTTAATGGTATATAGTGGAAATATCATGTAAAAGGTCATATTACTAAACATTAAGACAATTTTCAGACTGTTTTATATATTTGGCAATTGAATGTGAGCAAGCAGTTTATAAAGGTTTATTTTAGAAGAGGTGATATGTTTGTATTTAATCCACATGTTACATTAAAAGAGTCCGTAATAATAAAAGTAATAATAAGTAGTGCATTCATTGAGTAGAAATTGAGTGCACTGTAGCCACGATAATTCGCTCTCCGTTATAACGCTTATCTCAGTATAGCGCTCATAGACCTTGGCTCCCAATTGATGCAGTAAATAGTAATTGATGCGACAAGTATTAATTGATGCAGTGAGTAGTAATTGATGCGACAAGTGTTAATTGATGCGACAAGTATTAATTGATGCAGTAAATAGTAATTGATGCGACAAGTGTTAATTGATGCAGTGAGTAGTAATTGATGCAGTAAGTAGTAATTGATGCGACAAGTATTAATTGATGCAGTGAGTAGTAATTGATGCAGTAAGTAGTAATTGATGCGACAAGTATTAATTGATGCAGTAAATAGTAATTGATGCGACAAGTATTAATTGATGCAGTGAGTAGTAATTGATGCAGTAAGTAGTAATTGATGCGACAAGTATTTATTGATGCGACAAGTAGTAATTGATGCAATAAGTAGTAATTGATGCGACAAGTATTAATTGATGCAATAAGTAGTAATTGATGCGACAAGTATTAATTGATGCAATAAGTAGTAATTGATGCGACAAGTATTAATTGATGCAATAAGTAGTAATTGATGCGACAAGTATTAATTGATACAGTTAGTAGTAATTGATGCAGCTAGTTATAATTGATGCAACAAGTATTAATTGATGCACTGAGTAGTAATTGATGCAACAAGTAGTAATTGATGCAGTGAGTAATAATTGATGTGACAAGTATTAATTGATGCAGTGAGTAGTAATTGATGCAGTTAGTAATAAATGATGCAGCAAGTATTAATTGATGCAGTGAGTAGTAATTGATGCGACAAGTATTAATTGATGCAGTGAGTAGTAATTGATGCGACAAGTATTAATTGATGCAGTGAGTATTAATTGATGCAGTGAGTAGTAATTAATGCGATAAGTATTAATTGATGGAGTGTGTAGTAATTATTGCAGTGTGTAGTAATTGATGCAGTGAGTAGTAATTGTTGCAGCACATGCTTTCTGATGTGATGACTTTTTCTTGCTTGCAGGGTTCTTGATTTTGTTTATTGGACAGATTATCACATCCTGGTTAGGCTCTATGCTCTGTTATAACCTCTATGTATTTTGATTACAGGATATACAGTATGCTGATATAGACCACATGGATGAGAGGAAAGATTTTACCTATGATCATGTCAACTTTGCAGGTCTACCAGAATATATTAAAGAACTACAGGCTGGTGGAATGCATTTTATCATTATTTTGGTTGGTATATCATTATTATCAATTATGGCAACATTTTCATTACTTGTTTTCCTCTTTTCATCAAGAAACACAACATCTTAACCCACTTTCTTTATGTACAGGCGAAAATTTGAAATCTATTCCTCATACAATTTGTTTAAATAAATGATATATCCATGAGAATCATATGCGATATATTTATTGCTTGCAATTGAATTTTTTTATTGCAACACTTTGATAACTTGTGTTTTTTGTTGTTTTTTTGTTGTTGTTTTTTACAACACTTTTATTACTTGTTTGTTTTTTTAACTGTATACTAAAATGATAGTTTTCTATGTTTTCCATATAAGTTAGAGGAAAAAAATCCTTTGCCATCTTAGCATTTATTTAGAGTGTCGCGAGACATTATTATTCTAAGTAGAGGTTTACTTCTAAATAGATTGTTTTATTTGCAGGATCCTGCCTTAATTGCCAATGAGACAGATGGTTACTGGCCATATGACACAGGGGTTTCAGAGGATGTCTTCATCAAGTGGCCTAATAATACAGGACCAATGGATTCAAGACCTAATAACTCTGATATCATGCTTGGTTATGTAAGACCCCTCAATAAATAGTTCATTGATATACATGTACTATTAACTGTTCATTTTTCATAATGTCTTTTGTATAAATATGCAGTTTTAAATGCAATAGTATCGAAAAATTTGTTTTAACACAAGGTTTGAAAACTTTCAAAAATGAAGATAGGAAGTGAGTGTCTAGGAAAATGACTTTGAAAATTTAAACATGTTACTTGTAATTATTGTAACTTTTTAATTCTGTTGTCTGTGTACAGGTTTGGCCTAAAGGTAAAGTTGCCTTCCCAGATTTTTTGAACAACGGCACCAAAGACTGGTGGAGCAAAGCAATCACCAAGTTCCATGATACCCTTAATTTTGATGGTCTATGGATTGTAAGTCATCTTTTACTATTTAACAGATTTGTTTTTGAAAGTCAGTTCAGATTTTTTAAAATTTCCTTGAACTGCATTTCACTTTGTTGTAACATTGTACTTTGATTCGATCAAGCTGTTTTTGAACATTGAAGAAAATTTTGTATGTTTATTAGATTCCTCTGTAGTTACATTGATAACAAATCTTTGCAAGCCTTTTTTTGGATGAAATTATAAAAGACAAGGGAAAATTATACTTTACCTAGTCTACTGTAGGTATTCTTGAAACATATATATATGATTTTTAACATAAGTTTACATGATAATCATGAGGTTTTATTTCTTCTTTATAATAGATATGAATTCTGACTTTGATAATGTCAAGGTTAAACCAAATCAAAAATATATAAATGTATATCACATCTTATTTTATTTTTTTTTATACAAAAAAAAAAAATAGAAAGTAAATGGTTGTCTGTGATATCATCTTGACAAAATAGTAATGGCAGTTACTGTAAAACTATATTAATTTAGGATATGAATGAACCAGCAAACTTTGACACAAATGGGCTGCATCCCTGGAACTGGCCGGAGAAGGACAAACCATACTGGACACTTAAATGTACACTGGACAACAATACTCTAGATATACCACCATATAAACCAAGTTAGTAAATATTTAATATAGTTCTAAACAGCTTGCATGGTAACACAGTTGAAATTGACTTACCTAATCTAGTGTAAAGTCAGGCCATCTTCATACATACGTTTTCTGAAAAAATTGTGTTAAAAAGTTCCAGTCATATAACCTTACTATTGAAAATTGTAGCATGATTTCCACATTATTGTTCAAAAACTAGTAAGTTTAATGTCAATATTATAATACTGAAGATAGATTTCTCCGTCATCTAGTATTGTTTTAATTATTTGCACATAATTTTGGTGAAAAAAAAATGGTAGACTATATAAATAAAAATATTCTTAGCATTTGATTTTTGCTTGTAAGAGTATTTAATTCTTTGATCATGTCAAGTTATCTTTCCTCCCATGAGCATACTTGTGCTGGAAATAATTCTTAAAGGACTTCCATTGCATATTACTCCAAGAGTAAAAAAAAATCCTCAATGGAGTCTATTTAATCTGATCCAATATTGTTTGACATATTTTCTTTTCAAAATTTCACTTCCATTTAGCTTAGATAACTTTGTGTGTTTTTCAGAGGTACTATTCAAACATACCTTTGCTTATCTTGTAAACCTGATTTGATTAGTTTACACAAATTTATTTTAGTTCGATTGTGTTGTAAGCTATAAGCTTTTTGAAACACTCTCCAATCCTTTCCTGGAACCAACCAGTACTAAGAAATGAATGTAAAGTTTCTTGCTCAAGGAAACAACAGCTTGCCCCTACCCACGCGATCAGCAATCCTTAGATTACTAGTCTGACGCATTAACCACTTGGCCACTCGAATTTGATTTGATTAAATGTGACTTATATATTATTTCCTTGTCACCCCAGTATATTAATTTACTATATTAAATTTTTTTTAACACAGATCCGCAAGGGTATTTTATATTTTTATATTTAAATAGTGATTCAACTTTTTATTCTTATATAAATCTTATAGATTGGCATTGTGTATTCATATTGTATTTTATATGTGCATTGATGAGAATCTAAAAAAAAAATTTTTTAAAAATATCTGTATGCAGTATATGATAAAGGAATTCATTGAAGATTTATAATTTTCAGGATCAGTTACTGGGGATTATTTATCGGAGAAGACATTATGTATGGTAGGTAAACAAGGTGGTGGGAAATACAATCATTATGATGTACATAGTTTATATGGCTGGAGTGAAATGGAACCTACTTTAAGGTGAGCACATTGCTTTCATAAGTTCAACGCTTACTATTATTTAAAGGTACATGCCTCCAGATGAACCAAAATATTTTAAGAAAGTCAAACTTGAGAAAAGAGTATTGAGCTTTTAAGGAAGTAAAAAAAATTAAAGATAAAAGCAATAATTTCCATGTAATGTGCAATTTTTAACGCAGTAAGGGCTATTTGTGCATATTTTGACCTCTTTTTGGTAAGTTACATGAGTTGTAAGTGCTGGGTGCAATGTGAAAATTATTTTCTTTGTTCTCTTCACAATATTTTACTTTTAAATGCATTTTCAAATTGTTCATGGACATTAGAATGAATCTGGAGACTGATGTGCTGCTTTAAAGGTACATTTATTTTTTTATAGGGTGGTAATCTATAACTGTTGAAATAAAATAAAATTTTCAAACTTTGTTCAATGATATATATCCTTCATTGGGGGAGAGTTTTAACAAAAAGTGTCCCAGTTTTTAACTGGTATATATTATGATAGAAAGCAGAATAACAAATAATTTACTTCTAGGAATGACTGTCACAGGCATGCTTCACTTCATGGAAAACTGCAAGCATTAATTTTCAATTTGGGAAATTTAGAAATTTTGTATGATTTTGTGTGATGAAAAATATATATCCTACCAATTACAAACTATCAAATATTTACTATTTAAACTTTCTCCATTTCTGTAAGTAGTAAGTAATGGAATGTAAAAAGCGCCAGTTACAAATATATAGTCTGTCAAATTGTTGGCCAGTAACTATTTTCAAAACAAGATTTTTGGCAGCAGCATAGTACTAGTAGGTCAATGATTAGGCCATAAGGCATCTACCTCTACCAAGAACAGATCATGAATTTTGTCCACTGTTTGGTTAGTATCATATGATCAGCATCTGACACAATTTCTTTTTTTACATACCAGTTTGACAGTAATTGTAAATTTTGATTACAGGGGTTTACGAAATGCCACAGGTGAACGAGGCGTTGTAGTTTCAAGGTCAACATACCCTTCAGGTGGGAAGTATGGTGCCCACTGGCTAGGTGACAATGACAGCTTCTGGAGAAATCTACATGACTCTATCATAGGTAATACTTTATTTTATATCTGTAGCATTTTCTTTGTCTGTTTATTACTCTTTATGCTTTATTATGTGACAGATACTGTTTATGCAGTGAAAAATCTAAGATAGCATCCTGAAACTTTATAACCTGTATAATATAAAAAGTGAGCAAAACATTAAGACATTGCTGCTTTTAGGTTACAAACCTCTTGAAACAGCTTCTGCTAAACCTTGTGCTGGTCAATGCAAGAAATTTTGCACAAAATGTCATGTTAGTTTTACTAAGAGGAAAGCTCTTTTAGAATCCAGCTTATAGAAAAGTGATTTTGGTTTAAATTTAATTTCAAATGTCATGAATTTGATGAGTAAACTGTAATTGTTCAAAATGTTAAAAAGATAGTGATTTTACAAGTCATTTGATTAAATGTGGAAGGCATAATTTATTTACTTTTTCATATTTCAGGAATTATTGAGTTTAATCTCTTTGGAATTCCCTATGTAAGTTTGCTTAATTTTTTTTTTATTATTGCATGCGTTTCAGTAAAGAAATTATAAAGAATAATGTTCAAAGAAGCCAATTATATTTGAATGTGGATAAAAAGAATTCATCATAAGTAAGTTGAAAAGTCATCAGAAAAATACTCTGTCTCAAGTAAAATATGCTTGAATATAAGAAACATATGAAAATTTGCACACAATTGATGTTAAAGTTATAACAAAAATTCATGATATTTTCAACATTCAAGAACTATTGATGATGTCATGAATGAAAGAGCACATGTTGTGGTAAAAATGACTGAATCATAGAAAAAAATAGAAAAATTTGTAGATTTTGTTTGTTAAAACAAATAATATATCTGATGCAATATTTTCTAATATTTAGACTGGGGCTGATATCTGTGGATTTTTCTCAGAGCCTTCGGTAGAAATGTGTCAGCGATGGATGCAACTTGGGGCTTTCTATACTTTTAGTAGGAACCACAATGGTAAAGGCATGAAGGTAAAATTGCCATTTCATAATTCATTATCAATATTTCTTTCTGTGCTGTATATATTTACTATTGTAAATTGCACAACTGTGACACTATGCTCACAGACACTTTGGATGTGGAGCTTAAAACGCCTTTAAAATCCAAATTTGTCAATCCCAGCACATGTATTGATCATATATATCAAAAAAACTTAATATAAGCTGTTTTGAAAAAAATTGAATTTCATATTTCAACATCTATAATAATTATTATAGATATATATTTATACATTTTATTTGGATTTTAAAGGCGTTTTTAGCTCCACACCCCAAGTGTCTGTGACTATGCTAACAACTACCTTGATTTGATTTGTCAAGGATCTGTCTTGTCTTTATTTATTTGTTGGATAGTGTGAGTGAGTTCTTATGTCATACAGAATGGGATTTTTACATTTTCATTTCCAAATCTCATAGTTTTAGTTACCGTTTGCATGATAAATATTTGAGAAATAAACTGATGCACTCAGCTTGGATTTGATTTATTTGTTTTGATATTTTATTTGAACGAAACAGTTTTAAGTTAGAAATTTTTCCTTAAAGATTTTTTTTCTTTTACTTTAATGATTTATAAATTGGATTGTTTTGTTTTTTATTATTTTTTTATATATGTGTTATATAGGATCAAGTTATATGTGATAGTTAGTGTTCTTGTTTGTTATAATGTAGGATTATTTTATAAATGTATGTAAATGTATGTAATGGTCAGCTTTATTTCTCTTTGTTATATATATACAATGTCACATGTTATAAGTAAAAGTGATATTTTTATGTTATATAGGATCAGGTTATATGTGTTGGTTATAATTTCATTTTATAGCATCAGATTATATGTGATGGCTATATTTTCATTATATAAGATCAGGTTATATGTTTTGTTTATAGTTTTGTTATATAGGATCATATTATATATGATGGTTGTAATTTTATTATGTAGGATCAGATTATATGTTTTGATTATAATTTTATTTTGTAGGATCAGGTTATATGTTTTGGTTATAATTTTTTATATATGATCATGTTATATGTTTTGGTTATTATTTTGTTATATAGGATCAGGTTTTATGTGATGGTCATAATTTTGTTGCATAGGTGCAAGTCAAGAATTGGTTATAATTTTGTTATATAGGATCAGATTATAAGTAATGATTATAGGATCATAATATAAGCATTGTCATATTTTTGTGTGTTATATAGGATAAGGTTATAAGTAATGGCAATATTTTTGTATTATATAGGATCAGGATCCAGCTTTATTTGGTGAGCATGTGGCATACTCGTCAAAAATTGCATATTCAATTCGATACAGTCTACTGCCATACCTATATACACAGTTTTATAGAGTACATACTGAAGGTGGTACTATCATCAGATCTATGATGCATGAGTAAGTATTATTCCAATACCTATGATACATTATTAGCAGTTTGATCCCTTGCTACGCTAAATAGAAGAACTGAAAGAAAGTCTTCTTAACAAGGCTCAATGTTTATGCATGATTGATAAGTCATGTTATATGATTAAGAGCTGGTGGTTATTTTTTTTTGAAAATATCTGTATTTACGTACCTTGAAGATGACTCTCTGGAGGATATGCCAATATTATTTTTTAGTGGTGACAATAAAAATATGATAAAAAAAGTGGTATTATGATAATTTTTGCATAGATTTTTTCAGAAGTTTATATAAACATCTTAAAGTTTGTCCCCTCTTTCTTCTTACAATTCAATATCACAAACAGATTTGTCTAAGGCTGATTCTTTGTCACTTGCAAAAAAAATCAAAGTAAATCTTTGTAAATTTATACTTAAATTTCTCTGATTTCACCTTGTACGAGGGTTGTCCGGAAAGTTCGTAGACAAGACTATTAAATTACTATAAACAGTCATTATCAATATGAAGATTGAATATTTTGCTAAAGGATTTATTTGCTACATATTTCTAAATCAAAAAACATCATAACAGTAATATTCGCAAAGGGCCGATCACCATGGCAACATGATTAACGAATCACGGAGCACTTTGATTTCATGACAATAGCTACTCGAGTAATAAGTTGCTAAAAGTTGTAATTTTAACGCAAACTCTCGTTTTAATTTTGTGACATCATGAGATACTATTACATGATATTTAGTGAAAATTATGACGTCATACGCAAATAAACAGCTTGTTAACGACGGTTATAGGCAATGAAGGTGCATAAATTTTGTGTTGCAAAAATTACGTCGAAGTTACGGACGGAGCAACGTAATGATATTTAACTTCATAGCAAAGCTAATATGGCACCAGCTGAGATTTTAATCCTTACTTTAAAAACAAAACCAACCATAAAATGTTAAAGGCAAGTTGTGTTTAAATGTCAAACAAGATTAAGAAGCGGCGATGGCAGTATATCGTATAAGAAACGCTCCAGACGCCTAAAGCTAGCATGGGCGAGATATCGGATATTGCCTTACAACAACCTTTGAAAAAGACAGACATCTCACAACAGCATGGAAACCAGTGACAGTTTTGTTTTTAAATAATAATTTTAAATATGAAATCCATAAAGTAAAAGCAACATAACATGTATTAAGTATACGCCAGACATGTACCATGGCTGTTGAAATCGGAAGAAATTGAATAGCGGGTAAACATGAAGTTAATAAGAAGCCGTTGACGTTGTCAAAGTGCTCCATGATGATGTATATATGTTGTATGTAATTACTGTTAAAATACAAACGTTAGTCACAGTTCAGTAATTTTTGATAAATGTGTTCGCTAGATATGTATATTTTTGATGACTAAATCCATTTTTTAAAATTTTTCCCTGTTAGTGATGATTGATTTGAACAAGTCCATTTCAGATGTTTAACATGGTTAAAATTACTAACAAATTAGTAACAACTTTTATTTTCATGTCTGTATTGATTTTTCCCAACCCAGCATATGTTGTTCACTTCACAATATTTGTATTTTATTTATGATAAAAATAAAACAAGTTGAATTAACAATGGTATTTGAATTATGCATTAAGCAAAGTGTGTTTAAAATATAATTTCTAGGTTTCCAGGAGACAAGAGAACATGGGATGTTGATACACAATTCATGTGGGCCAGTGCACTTCTCATTGCACCAGTTTTAGAACAAGTAGAGTATTGTTTTTAAAATTGTGTCAAAATTGTTTTTCTGATTTTAAATTGTAGAGTACTGGAAAAATTGCTAGTCAAATTGTTTTTTTAATGAAAATATATGTACATGTAGTTATTAAAATTACCACATGATCTCTCAGTACTTGAATTGCCTTGCAATGTTGTAACAGTAAAATAATGACTGAACTTAAATTTTTTCTGCTGTAAACATAAAAGTAATTAAAACACTGTTTTAAATGTAAAACAAACTCAGAAGTATTTTGTATTTCAGGGACATATATATAAAGATGTGTACTTACCAGATGCTAGATGGTTTCATTATTACACGGTAAGGATCAAAATTCCTTCATCTTAAATGCCCATTATGCCTCAGAAACCAAATCTTTCTAAATGGCAAATTTGAATTGTATAATATCTGTATAATTGTTTTAAACATGTTGATCCTTTTAACCTGAAGAAAGTAGCACTGAATGTGAAATTATTTGTTATAAAAAGTAGCAGTTTGTAAACAAAGTAGTATTTTGACTTCCGTACAAAATACTAAACCAATTTACATGTGACTGTTCTTATTGCCAAAAAGTAACACGTAAGTAAATATAGCTCAGATCATTAAGCAATGAGTATTTGTTTGAAAATTATAAGAGGGCACTCAAAATAAATTTGCTATTAAGAAGCATATCTGGGACATAATGGGCCTTTAATAAATAAACTGTCATGTTGAATAGTATGTGATTTTTTGGTTCCTTGTCAACTTAAGAGAATCTAATATAAAATCATATTCTTAGAATGATTTGACACTAAATTTTGATATATTTTGTTTGAAAGACACACAAAGAAAATATCACAAATAATTCATGGGTCTGTAAACTCAAATATATGCCTAACTTTGAATTAAGTGTGACCTGAAAGGATTAAATTTGTATAATTATTATCTAGGGAGAAGAAATGTCAAGAAACAGGACAGTGACAGTGGATGCTCCTAGAGATTTTATACCACTTTTCCTGAGGGGAGGGTATATAGTGCCAACACAAGATCCTGCTAACAACACAGTTCACAGGTAATATAAACAATTATGTTTTGGTAAGTGACATTATGCCTATCTAAGTGTAAATGGTCCGTGAACAGGTAAAATGAAATTAACTTGACATTTTGCAATAATTCTGTTCATATTTATATTTTACTATCAAAAAAAAATAAATCAATTATCCATGTGACCAATGGAAATTTCTTTAAATATTGTTCAGAATGCATTGGTAATGTTGAGTGGGTAACTAGTCTTTTTAAAATACAAGACTTTTTTATATTTATATTTAGTATCATTAATATTTTTTCTTATGAATTATATGACAGTTATCATTATAATAGTATCTTTTGAAATAAATTACTAATTCAACTCATAATGACAGCAAAAAATTGAGAATAATGTCACTTTTAGAGACTATTAAGTGAGTTCATGTATTAGATACAGTATTTATTATAGCTGTATCATATCAGTGTCTATTTGACTTTGATGGTATGAACATTCTTAATAATACACATACACATTTCATAACATTGTATAATCATATTCATGTAAGTTTCTAATAAAGTCATACTAAATAATGACAAAGCCATAAATATTTTTTAGAACAAAAAGTCATAATTAATTTACATAGTATGTTATAATACACACAATCATTTTTGTGTCGCCTCTACGGAGTAGTGGCGACATATAGGGATCACTTCTCCGTCGTCTGTCTGTCCGTCTGTCCGTCTGTCTGTCTGTCCGTCCGTCCGTCACAAAACTTGTCCGGACTACTGCTCATAAACTACTGGTGCAATTTCATCCAAACTTTACAGGAATGATCAGTACCAAGTCTAGTTGTGCATATTGTCAGCATTTTCCGGTTCAATGATTTTTGTCAGAGTTATGGCCCTTTAATAATTTTTAATTTTAAAGTTTGTCCGGACTACTTCTCTTATACCACTAATGCAATTTCAATGAAACTTTACAGGATTGATCTGTAGCTCAAGTCCTTGCGCATATTGCACGGGTTTTCCGGTTTGAATGATTTTTGGCCGAGTTATGGCCCTTTGACAAAAAGGTGTTTTTTCTGTGTGTTGCCAGATACACAAAAGCTTGTCGGACTACTGCTCATAAACTACTGGTGCAATTTCATCCAAACTTTACAGGAATGATCAGTACCAAGTCTAGTTGTGCATATTGTCAGCTTTTTCCGGTTCAATGATTTTTGTCAGAGTTATGGCCCTTTAATAATTTTTAATTTTAGAGTTTGTCCGGACTACTTCTCTTATACCACTAATGCAATTTCAATGAAACTTTACAGGATTGATCTGTAGCTCAAGTCCTTGCGCATATTGCACGGGTTTTCCGGTTGAATGATTTTTGGCCGAGTTATGGCCCTTTGATAAAAAGGTGTTTTTTTCTTTGTGTTGCCAGATACGCAAAAGCTTGTCCGGACTACTCCTCATAAACTACTGCAATTTTATCCAAACTTTACAGGAATGATCAGTACCAAGTCTAGTTGTGCACTGTCCGTCTGTCTGTCCGTCTGTCACAAAATTTGTCCCAACATGAAATTGGCCATCATGAGGCGACACATGTGATTACTGATCGCTCTTGTTCAAATAACATAATCAAAATTTTTCTAATAACATACACAACAAGATGGTATAAAGACATTGGCAGTGTGTAATAACCTGGTAAAACAATATGCACATGAGTCTGACTACTTAATATGGTATAACTTTATAAAACAAGTATCGGTTAACAAACATGTTTGCCAACTTAAAGCTGTGGATTCAAATCCCGACAAGGACTTTGGATTATTTGATGTGAGGAAGTTATCCAGCTAGCTTTCAAAATATTGGTGGTTCTACTCAGGTACCCATCTGTGCCTGAAAGCACAAAAGGGCACCTGAGGTCTTCCTCCATCAGTAAAGCTGGAACATTGCCATATGACCTAATTGTGTTGGTGCAATGTAAAACCCAAACAAACTAACAATAACAAACATCTTATATTTGTGCACACATAAACAGTTTCCTAGTAACAGTATCATTCAGGGGTCATATTATAACAAACAGAAAAATCATGAGAGCTTCATTTAAAATTTCAGTCGAAAGAATCCCATGCATTTGATGGTCATACCAGATGACAACATGAAGGCTGAAGGGAATCTGTTTTGGGATGATGGTGTTGGAATAGGTATAAAGATTATACTATACAATATTATATGTTGTTTGACTGCAGAGATTACTGTGATTTATGTTTGGGTAACTTAAAACTTATGAGATATACTTTGTTCTGCACTTACGATACAAATATGTTTTGCTAATTGCAAATCAAGCAGAGCATCAAAGAACTTCTATAAATTGATAGTATTATAGTACTTTGAGCCTTTGTAGTATGTGGATGATGTTGTCAATCCTGTTGTTCCTAAATCTTCTGTCTTTGTGTCCCAGCATCTGTCCGTCCATCTGTGCTTACAGTTGGGTTTTATATGGCTTTGGGAACAATGAGAAATAGTAACTTTACTTTGATGCTATGTGGCCTATATGATGTTACATAAAACCCAAATGTTAGAATGTCTCACTTTAACTCTGTTGTCTGTCACAGTTTAAGTTTAACTGAAACATAAATATGAAACTGTTTTAGTTATACACTTTTATCTTTGGTGTTGCTTAAAGCAACAATACTTGATTTATCAGTACTTTTTAAACCCTTAAAAAATGGTAAGTCTTGCCTACAGTATGGAGTCAGCTTACAACTGTTGACTGACATCTTAGTATTTTCACAGTCACCTGATTTCCAGGACAGTCCTAGACGTACAGGATGTTATGGCATGTATGCCATTTAAGAAATTCAGCAGGCTAATGGTTTAATCAATTTTTATTAAGAATTGTCTTCTGTATGTATTATTACTGTACATTGTATGATATTTACTTAGCATTTGTATTAGGATTTTATTGAATCAAAATTTATATACTAGTATACTCCTTTTTTTCAATTTTCAGACACAATTGATAAGGGAAACTACTCCTATTCAAATTTTAAGTTCACAAATGTAAGTTGTTGTTGTTGTTTTTTTTAAATTAACTTATTAGCATTGAGTTTTTCCTTAAATTAAGATTTAATAAATTCAAAAGAAATCAACAGTTTTCATACATTTTGACCTTCTGTAAAGTAATTTCTAATGAAAGAACTTGAGCTCTTCAGAAATACATTTTTAAATGAAAGGTCATTGGTTTGAAGGTGTACTCCTTTGAACTATTATCCCAATAACATACATGTGACAAATGAAATGGGCCAAATCTGGATTTTCAGCTGGATTTTGAGGCTCAAAACTGGATTTTTTTATCGACTCGAATTTCAGTGCGTGTTTGGCGCATTTGGTTCAAAGAATCTATATTACCCTCACAATCATTAAATGATAATACTTTTTATGATTTTTTTGTTTATCAATATTAATTTATTTCACCAAAAAAATAAATAAATAAATAGATAAATAAATAAGTGTAGTCATACTGGCTATTTCTAAAACAGTCACACTTTCACATTTCATTATTTTCAGTTTGAAGAATTATAATGTCTTTTCAGTCATTCAATAATTAAACACAAGCTATTTGAAAACGTGCAACAACTATTCATAAACATAAGAATTTGACAGTTAAATAACGTAACATAAGTAAAAGACTCAAAATAAATGCAAGAATCGTTCTGTTAATTAAATCCACATTTTTGCCTCGATGATTGCGTAATTCCTAAACAAAACAAAAAATTACCCACTCACTAAAAATAGGTTAATTAGACATCTCAAACAGGTTTTGAATGATCCACTTTAAATGATTCTGCTCCCCTTTTATCTTTATCAGTGCGGCACTAATCAAAGAAAATCAAAGGTTGAGCCGAATTCATACATGTAAATTTACAGGGTAGTTTTGATGACGTAGCGTGTAATACCTACTGCCAAATTACAAAAGAGGTCAATTGACTGACACACAACACGTGATAAGTTAAACATGTGAGAATAACTTTGGGTATTGGAACTGTTTATTACGTCACCTTGCTGTCAATTAGCGACTCAACATTTAATCCGCTATAATTTAGGATATGGACAGATAACAATCAATGCCCGGAGGCACGGTTTACATTTTAGATACAGGTGCTGTGTTTGATTTTTTTTTATGTTGATTTTTTTTTAAATATCGGGAATTCAAGCTGTAATATCGGGAATCGGGATCAGTGTTGAAATATCGGGATTTTTTTAAATCCCGCCGGGATGTCACATGTATGCAATAAAATCACTATTCAAAACTGTTACAAATTCTTAACTGTTCTGAGTTGAGTTTTTTTAGGTATTGTAATATGTATTGTAATATCTATTGCAATCTCTGATCTTTATTTGGCATCATTCTGTAGTGTTGTCTAGATGGTCAAGTGTTTCCTAGTATCGTTCTTGTTTGAGTTCTACCATGGTGGTGGTCCACCAGTGACACGCTAGACTGGATCCCAAGTTTGATCCCCTGCTACACCACTTACAGAACTAATGATCTTTTTGATTAGACTTTACAAAACAACGGTCAAATGTATTGATACTCCACATTAGCCATGTAAAAGAACCAGGGTTGCACTTTGCGTGGGGCAACTGCTGTATCTATGCATCTCCATAACATATAAACAACTAGCTCTACATGTTGCATTGCAAAATTTATGTAGGCAATTAAAATATGATGGTAACTGAAACAAATAAAAATGAAAATAATGCATGGTGATCACTGTAAAAAGCAACACTCATAGACAAAGTCACCTTTATAAGTGGAAAACTTCTGAGAGAGAAATAAAAATCCAAAACAAGCCAAGATACATGTGTATTATTTCTTTTGCTTTAATATTCCTACAATTCTTTTTCAAAATCATTTGATTAATATAAATATATGTATAATTATATGTAATTGTTACTTAAATAACTTTATATTTTGATATATTTACAGAATAATCTTACATATACTGTGACGAAGCCACACAAGATAGTTGGTGATTTAATGTTTAAATATATCTGGGTATATGGTGTACAGAATAAACCATCCAATCTGTCTGTTAGTGCTAATATGACATACAATAGTGATACTAAGGTTAGTACAATATGTACAATTTATTATAAAATTTAACCCAACATGTTTGAAAGGTCAATTTTCAATAAATAATCATACAGTTTTTATAACTTTATACACAGTTGCCAAAAAAAGTTTTGATTTACTTATTGTTTTAATCAAGCAATTATTTAGGCATGCAGTAATGTAGTGTACAACATATATATTATATAATATCAGAACTGATATTTCTTAAAGTTTTGTGACTAGAGTTAAACATGTATTTTTACATTCACCCGATCATTAATTATTTCAGAAATGAAATGTCTTTAATTTTCACTAACTTCTTGACTGAAGCTGATTAATATACAGGTAGATCTAACTAAACAAATACCTTTGTATTTTGTCCAATATAAAGGTTCTTTGTTCTCCACAATTCTTTCATCCATTGCAATGTTGGCCAAAAAACTGGATTGAGATATCAAACTGTTTATATGTTAACCTGACTTTTATCTTCTTTCTACAGTTGCTAATGGTTTCTGATTTGAACTATCGCCTGGATACCAACTTTACATTTAGCTGGAGCTGATAACCATTGTCATCCTCATCTACAAACATCCATTGACAGTCACCAAACATTCTTCTATAATTGTCTACATTGTCTACATTATGTGATTGAGAAAAACAGAGCACAGATGAAATCTTTGGGACCAGGAACAATATAAATAATTTGTTTAATGGCTAAAATAAAGACATTGACCATTCTGCTCAATCTTATCTCAAAAACTAATATAAGATATGCCTAAAGCTGTATATGCCACCAGATTAGCCAAAATATTTTGAGGAAAAACCTCGAAAAAAAATGTACCGAGATTTTAAGAAAAGTAAAAAAATTCACAATTTAGGAAATAATTAACATGTTATATGCAATTAATGATTGATTTTGCTATATTTATCACCATATTTTAACTGTGGACCTAACATAGTAGGAGCTGCTTTGCATATGCTCTTTTTTTGTTACTTTTCATAGATTTTAAGTGCTATTTGCAATGTATAATCACTGGACAATATTTTACTTTTTAATACAATTTTTTTTATGAAAATTATCATGAATCTATGAATCTGGAAGTATGCTGCTTGAAAAGGCAGAATCGTTTACTATGAATGAATACAAATTAATTTTTTTTTTGCCGTCATGATTTACAGTGAAACAAAATATTGCATGAAATGCTTATAAATACTTTTTTATGTAAGACTGATCATACATTTGAAAATCTACATCTTTTTCAATCTGTATTTTTTAATTTTTTGAAAAAAAAAGTAAATATATGTGACAAATAAAAGTATGGTTGTGTGTAACCCATCAAATTGAAATGATCTTGATGAGATATAAATAAAAAATGGATTTAGCTCAATACAGGATTGGAGCAGTACCTCTAGACGCTTGCAGAAATCATGATCACAAAATAGACAAATATCATTTTTTTCTCCGATTTTTTATATTTTTCATTCATTATCATACAAATAGGCGTGAAAAGATGAATTAGACCTATTTCAGTTCATTCCGTTGGGTAAAAAGGCAAGATTTTAGCATTTTATGATTCAAGCGCCTTGCCCGGTATATACCGGAATACGGTATTTAGTGTGGTGCTCCAATCCTATTTTTAGTCTCACTCATAAAAAATACCTTAGTGTAAATGGGTAAAGATATAAAGATGAAAAATATGTAAATAGAGAAAAAATAACATAATGTAAATGTGTAGACATAGTGTATGTATGAATAAAGAACAACATAGTGTAAATGTGTAGAATTATACAGAGCAAAAAATAGCATAGTGTAAATGTATAGAGACATATAGAGAAAAAACACCATACATGTACTGTTAATGAGTAGAAATATGTAGAGAAAAATAACATAGTGTATGTCATGTAGGTAGAGATCATAGGGATACAAGTATAGCATTGATTGGTAGAGATATACAAATAAGAAGAAGAAATAAAAGATGTAAATGTCAAGACTTACATAATAAAGCTTTAATTTGTAGAGACATAAATACAGTTAATGTGATTGTTTATAAATATTTTGAGAATGAAATTACTTATGTAAATATTAACTTAGGTATAAATTGTTTATTATTAATCAGATCAATTTATAAACTTTATGTTATAAATAACTTGTTTAGTTTTGGTCATTTTTAAGTAAGACCGTGAGTGTTACCATTTACATATATGTGACTAAGAAAGATTGACTGTCTTTAATTGTTTAGATTATTATGACTATCTGTTAACATGTCTCATATGATTCATTTGAGATATTAGTTACTATACAATATTAGTAAAATGGATAGACAATCAACGCAGGTTGAGATTCAAGTTAATAAAATTTTAACATTTATTGAGATTGTGATAGATCTCTTTTGGAAAGGGAGATAATTGGTTGAATTGATAGGAAGGAGGATAATAAATGGGTAAATGGAAAGGAAGGTAATAGACTGGGTAAGATCACATTTGGAAAGAGAGATGATGGTTTGAATACATAGGGTAAATAGGAAGGGGGGGGGTAAAAGATTTGGTAAGGTCACATTTAAAAGGGAGATAATAGGTTGAGTTAAGTCACATTTGGAAAGGGAGGTAATCGATTTGGTAAGATATGTTTGAAAGGGAGATACATAGAATGGGTGAGATCACATTTGGAAAGAAAGATAAATATATTTGGTATGATCACATTTTGGAAAGGGAGATAGATTAAAGATTGGGTAAAGTCTTATTTTGAGTGGGAGTTAATTCTCCAGGGTAGAGTATTACTACATACAATTAAAAAACACCACCAAAGCTTTTTTAAACTATGACCACCTTCTTGCCATTTATATTCAGACATACCTTAGTATTTTTAATAATGATTACTTCTTTTTGTATGCTAGTAAAAACATTCTGCATGATGTATGTTTGATCATATTTCAATATCCATGACTGCTTTTTCATGGCATATGTGATCTGTAATCATTCCTTTATTATAGAAATATTATCACATTATATATGATAGTTACAATACAACCATTAATTGCCTATCTGACATAAATTGTCTTCTTTATGCTTTCTGTTCCTTTACATGTATTTATCTTAGTGCTACATTATCTTATTCAGAATTATTCCGATTTGTTTTAATGAACTAAGAATTACAGACATATCATTATAAATATGCCATATTCTCATGATTTAGAAATACTTTTTTTTTTACATATTTTTGTAACAGAATGATTTTATATTAAAATTACCTATGAAGATTTTACTATGTTTTTTGTTTTTTCTTCTTGAAAACTCATTAAATTAAATTCATATATTGATGCACAAAGTAAGTTGCCAAGATACATTTATGTAGCTGAATTTACCTTATACAAATTTGTTTAATCTTGATTGTGTTGGAAGCTATAAGCTTATTGAAACACTATTGAAAATGTTCCTGCAACCAACCAGTACTAAGCAATGTGTGTTGAGTTACAACAACTTGCCCCTGACAGAGTTTGAACCCATGCCACAAAACCAGCATGTTTACCACTTGGCCATGCCACCACAAGCAGTTGAACTTGACTTTATATATTTTGAAAAGTAATCTGTTAATTATAAATTAGCATTTCCCTATAGATAAAATAAATGATTCTAGACCAGGAACTAATTCCCCTTCAGACTAAGAATAATTATACACATTTATCCTATGAAATAAGTCATGACAAGCCATTACATTTAATAGATATCCATCACCAAATGATTCAAATCATGTACATTAGTATTGTCTTGAATTGGGCCAATATGTAACATAAATGATGTTAAAGTATGTGTGGCATTAGAGTACCTCTATTCCTATGTTTTGTAGTATGGAACATTTGTAGTTTTTATGCTCCCCGAAGGGAGAGCATATAGCCGCCACCTTGTCTGTCTGTCCGTACGAACCCAGAGGTACTTGTGTGACTTGGAGAACAATGGGTAACAGTAAATTCTCTTTGATCCTATTCATTCCGTTTTTATTTGTTTGGGTCGTCAGACCAAACAAATAATGGTAGCGAAATTTCAGAGCCTTATGCTGTTAATTGCAAATGCCTAAAGTAGTCCACTTTTTTGAAGCGGTTACTTCCCTTTATATGTACACTAACGCCGAAAAATTCAGGGGAGATCAATGCGTAAAGATTGTCAAATTACAGGCGCATTAATTTTCAAGCAAAGTAGTTCCCGAATGGTCGAAAATTTCTAATATTGTTTCATTCTTTATAGATATACATGCTTACAGTAAGCTCCATGATTATTTACATCTGTGTTTAGCGTCGAAATAATAAGAGTTACAAACCCTAATTTAGAATAATATGGTTTTCTTCAGGTCGTTAACTTATAATTTCACCGTGGCCGAGGGGTTTGCACGCTCGCTTATGAATCGAGAGGTCTCGAGTTCAAATCCCAGTTGAGGCAACTCATTTTTTAAAAAAAAATTTAAGTCAAATAAACATTGAATTGACAATCAGTGTTGCAATTAGTCTTATAGCCAATTTACTACAGTTAAAACACTGGAAAGCATTAGTGGCACTATGTTCTCAATATAGCCTCTAGATAGTCACGAAATACCAGGATATCACTTCCTCTTCCAAAAATTTTCTCGGGGGAGCATGCCCCCGAACCCACCTATTTAAGGACTACATATCAAAATAGCTCAGTGAACGATTTTTATTGTTTCCTACAGTGAATTTCAAAAAAAGATACCAGCTTAAATGTATGTCCCTCATATATTGAACAGATACGTTACCACACTTAAGGTAAACCTGAGTAAGAGTAATATGAACTTGTTACATATCAATAGTTTGCTATTGAACTCAAGTTTTATCATATTTCATAATTCAAAAATAATTTTGGCTACAATATACATGCTAGAACCACAATGACTTTGCAATGATGAGGCAAATTGGATTATACTTTAAAGTGAAACAGATACGTTACCATGATATCCCACTGAGAAACATTTACAATTACCAGCGCTTAAAAGTAGGATCGCATTTATGCATTATTCAAATATATGCTTTATAAAACTTAATATTTGATCTTTTTGGCAAACATATGTGTATATCTGATATATTTTAGATTTTTGACCAACAGATACGTTACCAACAGATACGTTACCAATATTTATTGTTTGAATCTTAATTGGTGATTTTGCTCAGTTTTGAAATGGTTTCATGTTAAAAATCACAGCATAACGTACGTGTAGCCGATAAATGATGCATTGATCTCGATTTTATTGGATAACTGAAAATGTGAATCAGGAATTTGAAATTCAAGGATTAGTTGAGTTTTCTATAAAAAATAAAATGTTGAAAAACAGGAAAGAAACATATCAAGATTTACTGTTTTATTTCCTGGAATAAATATATGTTGATATCTTTTTGGTTTGCAAAATTTGTATTAAAAATAAAATGTAGAGGACTGTATAACTTCTGGTAACGTATCTGTTTATCATTGTAACGTATTTGTTTAGAAAGAGATTTGAGTACTGTTTAATATATATATAACTAAATCTTCAACAAAACTTTGGTTTAAATTAGTAATATATGGTTAGGCAATATACAACAGCACTGTAACGTAATGAAAAAAACAACATATTAAAGTATTTTTAAATGAATGCCCGTTAGTTTCGAAATTTTAGTCAGCGTCGTATCAAGATAGTCTGTCTATGGTAGGAATGGACTAATTTAGATATAGATCAAAATCTTGGAGGTGCACATATATATGGATTGATTATAATACTTAAGTTGGTTTTCTTTAAGCAGTACCATTGTTTCTGATATAATTTTGTTAAATGTAGATAAGCATGTACATGTAGGCTTACTCATATCACCAAGTATGACAAAAATCAAGGATCGAGATTGTACCAGTATATAAAGACAATTGAACAGCAGATGAACCAAAAAGACAAACGAAATACAGAATGTCAATTCACACTATGAAACACTCACATTAATCTAGCTGTTACATATTCTAATAGATGGGTGTCTTTATTTAAATGTTCTTGTTAAAGTCACAATGTTATTTGACTATTTGAAGCTACAGTCAGAAAACAATAAAACCTAAAAAAACTGGAAAAGTTTTTGTGTGTTCTATATAATATTAAAAAAACTGGTTCAGACATATTATTTATTGGTCAGTTGTTTAAAAAACTTTATGAATATCTAATAACGTGTTCAGGGTTTTTCATAATTTTGTTCATAGTAGAACGGTGAAACAGATACGTTACTATGATTTAATATTCGTTTCCACTTAGCAGAATAAATTTATACTGTTAAGTAAATCCGAGCAACATTGTGTCAATAGATAAGTATGGAACATCAGTATTTTTATTGACCTAAAATGCTTTTATAAGTAAATCATGTATTTGGAATAAGAAAGTCTGATTAATAAGTAACATTTTCATCAGCTTCAGTTCGACGTGGATTTTTTTTAAAATGCATATTGATGCATAATATTATGTAATTTATACTGGTGCTATATTGTTGAAAGAATGATAATAAATTTCTAAATTGTGTATATTCATGTTAAGTATTTTTATCTATTTCCCTTTTGGAAAGAAAATTGGGAAAAATTTTAAATAACGTATCTTTTTTTTTGCACAAATCTCAAATTTTCTTGGTGTCTTTCTCCTTTTTAACTAATTTTAAAATTAACAATTTTAAAATTTACTTAGATTGCCATCCCACTTTACATATTTTTTGTAAACTCCCATAAAGAAACAACATGTTATTTTATTTTCTGAACATGTTTTTAAAATTTTATCAAAAAAGGGAAGGGGGGAGATTTAAGCAAAAATTTAAACAATTTCTAATAAATTTTTTTTAAAAGGGAAAGAAGTTTAAAAACATTTAAAAACTTATTTTTTTTTTCATGGAGGGGGCGCTAGGGTAGGGGAAAGTAAAATTCCCTATTAAAAGATATATAGAAAATAATAAGTTTTATTAACATATGGGCCCGGTTTTGAAAAAACCAACATGGGAGTTTTCGACCAGCATGGATCCAGATAAGCCTGCGCATTCGTTCAGTCTGATCAGGATCCATGCTGTTGGCTTACAAACCCTATAACAAGTAGAGATACTGATAGCGAACAGCATGGATCCTGATCGGACTGCCCGGATGCGCTGGCTTGACTGGATCCATGCTCGTTGCAAACACTCTATGTTGGTTTTGTCATGACGCGACTCAAATATTTAAGGTTTAAAGTATGGTCTGGCACCCAGGTAAACAAATAATTTATATCAGGGTTCAACATTTATCATATTATGTTTAATTTCTCTTCTGACATGTTATAAGTGTTATTTAAGGAGTGAATAATCATTAAATAAAGTAGTTTAATTTATTGTTGGATTGACTTCTTATCTTGAAATTGTTAGGCTATATAGGATAATCATTGTAAACTTTTTTCCAAGCCATTTTTTCAAATTTTTTTTTTAAAAATTTAAAAAAACCAAACAAAATTTTAAAAAATTTTTCCTTAAGGCCAAAAAACAAAAAGTATTTTTAATAAAAAGCAAAAAACCCGCTTTTTAAAAGGAAAAAAATTTTTTTTAAAATTGGTTAAAAATTTCCTTCCTTTTTTCCTTTTAAAAATTTAATAAAGAACCCCTTAGGGGTTGTTTTTGGGTTTTAAATCTTTAAAATCTTTTTTTAAGTTGTCTTTAAAAATTTAAAAAATTGGATTATTTTTCTTTTTTGGTGTTTTAAAAATTTTTTAAAATTAATTTAAATTTTAAAAAAAGGCCCTGAAAAAATATCGGGCCTTTTTCCCTTAACCCGGGGAAGGGAAATTCCAATTTTAAATTGACTTTTTTTTTAACCTTTTTAAAAAAATTTCCAAGGGAAAATTTTAAAAATTTGCCGGGTTTTTTCCCCAAGTCTTTTTTTAAAAATTTTTTGGGGTTAATTTTTTATTAATTATTAAAATTTAAATAAATTTTTAATTTTTTTAGTTTTTTGAAAGGAAATTACATTTGGGTAAATTTACCTTCATTTTTTTTTGGGTTTGAACTTTTTACTTTGAAATTGGTTTTTTTAAAGGGCCCTAAAATTTAATTAGGAAAATTTTTAAAAAAAACTTTTAAAAAAAAAAGTTTCATAAAAATTTTCTTTAAAGAAAAAAATTTTTTGGGTTTTTTGGGAAACCCTTTAAAAGAGGGTTTTTTTAATAATTATAAATCCCAATTTGTAGGGAAATTTTTATAACAGTTTTGGTTATTTTTTGGGATTTATTAAGCCTAATCTT